CTGGTGACTTCCCGCCTAGACTTCTGTAACGCGCTTTACGTGGGGCTTCCCCTGAAGACAGTCCGAACACTTCAATTGGTGCAAAACAGAGCTGCCAGGTTGCTGACGGGGATGGGGCGTTATGCTCACATGACTCCAGTCCTCCGTCAGCTTCACTGGCTTCCCATTGAAGCCCGGGCCCAATTCAAGGTGTTGATTATGACCTATAAAGCCCTAAACGGCGTGGGTCCTGGCTACCTGAACGAGCGCTTACGTCCGTATATGCCCGACCGACCTTTGAGATCTGCGGGAGAGTCCCTTCTCCGGGAACCCTCCATGAAAGAAATTAGGAGAGTAAGTACTCGGAGGAGGGCTTTCTCTGCGGTGGCACCCAACCTATGGAATTCACTCCACAAAGAGGTCCGCCTGGCACCGTCGTTACTGGTTTTTCGGCGCCAGGTAAAGACCTTTTTATTTAAACATCATTTTAATTGTTAAAACATATGATCTGGCCAGGGCAACTTCTTCTTCCTTCTCTTTCTCCTCCTATATTTTTATTGACTTATTTTATACTGATAATTTTAATTTTATATTTGTAACTCAGTGTATTTTTTGTATTTTTGTATTTAATGGTAATTTATTATGTTCTATTGTATTTCAATGTATTTTATTGTGTTGTAAGCCGCCCCGAGGTTTCGGCAAGGGGCGGCATAGAAATGTAATAATAATAATAATATTAATAATAATAATAACAATATTTACAATATACAATGATACCTTGGCTCACAAACTTAATCCGTTCCAGGATGCTTGTTGTGACCCAAATTGGTCATGAGCCAAGTCAAATTTCCCCATGAGGATCAATGTAAATAAGGTTAATCCGTTCTGCGAATATTTTTTTTTCTTACTCACAAAAATTTGAAGCAAAGTGACAAAGAACAACAAAGACCGTGGCCATCTCTCCCCCAACCCCCATCGATCGTGCTGGGGTGTTGAGATGGCCATGATCGTGCTCGGGGATGGGGGGATGGGCACTCTTGGGGGGCCGACGGGAGCGGTCCTGGCCATCTCCCCACCCCCAGCACGATTTCCGCTATCTCCCCCACCCAGCACGACCCCAACTGCATCCGTACAGGGCAGGTTTGCGTTCTCACAATCATCAGCCGATGTGGAGTTCGCGACCTGCGCTGAGGCGTTCGTGAGCCGAGGCACCACTGCATATGCAACAGGCTCACGTTAGTAATATCTGCAAAACTGTGATTAATATAAGCCGTGAATAATGCTGGAGGCAAAGCAGCGAAAAGCTGTTCCACGGAAGGCCTTCCGTATGCACTCATGATCCACCAGCAGTGGGATTTCCTGAGGCCTTTTCCAGATCACTCCTTCCAGGGCCCCTGTGTCGAGGGCCCGTTATATAAACATTCCACTCTCCGTAGAGTAATAAAACTAAAGTCCTTTAATGTGAATTGTCTGCAAGATTTACAATTCTATAGAGAAGTTCCCTAATAGCGGTCCTTGCTAAGCAGATGTCAGCCCTATAATGGCTTCTCTGAGCCCACGTGGGATCATTCTCCCAAGTCACGCCTTCCTTCCCTCCTACGCTGTCTACTTTGTAGTTGTTCAATCTGCGTAAAAGACGTCTGTTCTCGGCTTTTGAGAAATCTACGACACCTATTGTGTCTTCTGTTTCTGGCTCAGGGGGATCAGCGTGGGGGGGGGTGGGGAGGAGACAGTTTGCTCTGCCTCCTTCTGAGTAGAACTTGCCGCTCCCTCTCTCTCACGACTCTCAGTCTCTGATAAAGGTCCAGGCGTTTGCTCACCGGGCTGGGGCTCAGGGGAAGACGTGGTCCAGCCGTCCCTGCATTGGGTTGTGGGGTCGACTCTTGGGCACTGGGTGCCAAGTGCAAGGTCTCCTCGTGAGTCACTGTTTCGGTTGGAGCTTCATGCACGACACCCTCCCAAGTTTTGCAGCTTTTCCCTTCGGGTGAAGAAAATCTGGGATTTTCCAAGATGGCGCCAGCATTTGCGACAGGTGTTCCGTAAGTGCTTGCAGGTCTGCCGTTCGCCACACCATCACCTTGTGCTGCCCAGTGGAAACTGCCTGGGGCAAACCTTGTGGGAAGGATGCTTGGCTCCTTCTGCAAAGCCAGTGGAAGGCATTGCTTCCATAAAGACGCCTCCAAAGCCAGTGGGAAGACACCTCTCAGAAGTCAGGATCTCCCTTGCCTTTCATTTAGTCATGCCTAGCACACAGAGACAGCAGGTCTTGGCCTCCAGGCAGCATCCGAGGGGCCACAGAATAGCTTGGATTCCCTGAGCCAAGGCCAGGGAGAGCACTTGATCCTGGAGTGGGGACCAGAGGACCAAACCGCCTCTTCCTGCCGATGGATCCATCCACCCTTGCAGGAGGCGAGTCAACAGCAGGGGAGGCTGGTGCAGCCATGAGAGAGATGGGCGGGGCTTGGGAGATCTGGGTGTGCAGTGTGTGAGTGTGGGCCAGCCACTGACTTTCAGCCTACTCTCCCTTAAAATAATGCTAGTTAATAATCTATTTCATTGGTTTCTATTGGTTTTAATTGTTCACCAACCAGACATTCCCATACAGGAATATTGATGTGGTTTACAAATGTAATAGATATGTAGATAGATAGAGAGAAGAACAACAACGAAAGCACAACTTTCAGAAGCAAAAGGGGATCATTTCAAATGTTTGTGGTCATATCCAAAGTTTTGAGCGCAGGCCATTTCTGCTGCAGCGGTAGAGCGGCTTGAGCGCCCTGGGGTGAAAGGAACACACTTCTCAAGAAGGCGCCATGGCTGTGGGCCCTGCTGTGCTGCGGCAACATGGGGGCTTGCTTCCTCTCCGTGGCTGCAGCTGGGATGCGGGGCCCTGCCCGGCCCCTGCCCGAGGGGCCCCGGACCAGGAAGTGTGCAGTGAGCACAGGGGGCGTCTGGGGTTCCTCTAAGGTCCAGCGTCCTGCTCTGAGCCCAACAGGGAGGTTTCGTTCCCTGTCTGGAAGTGTCTCTGCCTGGATGGCTAGGTTCAGGCATCGCTTCTGACACTCGCCTGTCCAGAAAGCCATATGCAATGCTCAGTATTGTTAGTGTGCAGCTGCGAGGGGACGTAAAACGCCTCACTTCTATTTATATCATCTGAGAAGCCACCATAGCAGAACTGACTCGGCTCTCAGCCACAGTTGTAGGTAAGATACAGGTAAGTTGCAGGTCGCTTGGTAGACAGCAGTTGTTTGCTTGCTCTGAAGAGCGCTCTCTCTGTGTGCGTGTGCGTGCGAGTGTGCATTTGATGCATAGATTCTCGCCACAGGTAGGAGCAAACTTCTTGCACACATTAATTCAAGTCCAGACATGTGGTGGGCCAATTGATTTATTTTGTTTGTGACACACGTATATTTTAAATGATTGCTAAAGGGTAGCCTTTTGGGGAGAAATAATCACAGTACTTAGCAAGGCAGTAACTTCTCCAGGCCTCTTCATCGGCAGGAAGGGTAACGGGGAGAAGGCAGTCGCCTGCACGGGGACCCGCATTCTGCCTCACTCCTAAGATGGAGTACAGGAGGCGGTATCAGGCTGCCAGCGCCAACCAGCGCAGCTGGCCCCAGGCACTGAACTTGGAGACGCGCAGGCCTCCGTCGGAAGGAGTGCTTGTCCTCCCTGCAAAGAAATTAGGTAGCCGCTCTGGGGACTGCTTGAGAGAAGGGCTGGCCAGGGCACCTCTGAGCATCTTCGATCCCAGCCAAACTTCACCCCTGCCCTCTCTGCCCTCTCAAAGGCCTCACCCCAACCTCTGCACACCCTGTCAGCTCTGCCTCGGTTCTGTTGGCCAGTTTCTGAAACCACGATGCAGCTCCCCGGGGACAAGCAGCCCGTTTTAACCGTCAAGCGCCTGCTGGCTGAGGAGCTCACCCGAAGGCCTGCACAGATGGGCGCCCATGTATCCACGCGGCACCGCTGGGGCCCCGAAGGCCTCCCCAGGCCGCTCAGTGCCGCCGCAGGCCTTGCCAGCGGCTGCGTCCTCCTCCCGACCCGGCCCTGCCTCCCACCAGCCCCTGCCTGCCCCTGCCCGGTCAGGGACCTGCCCCTTGGGCTCGCGGACCTTGCCCGCCTGGGGCTTCCGCTTGCCTGCGTGGCCCTCGGCCTCGGCCTCCCTCCAGCCCTGCCATGCCTTGCCGGTACCCGCCCTGCCTTTCCCTCGCTGGCCCGCCTGTGCTCTGCTGAGGCCCCCATCATCCCCGGCCCAGGCGTGGCGGCAAGAGAGACCTGTTGCTCCCCTTCCAGACCTGGCAGCCGCAGGGGGCACCCTCAATCAGAGCAGGGCAGCCTGCGGCCTCCTGGCGCAGTCATGCAGCCCGAGGACCCCCCGCCCCACTCACCACGGACCCCCCCGCCCCCCCACTCCGCTGTTTGGGGGGAAGCAGCTCAGCCGAGGAGGAAGGGGCATGGCTTCAGCCCTCTGCTCAGCTGATCGACGGGGAGCGGCCACTGAAAACGTGGAAGAAGGGTTGCTCGGGACGTTCTGAAGTTTTAACTCCACATCGAAGTTGAACCCTGTCCTTTCAGCTTGACGCCTTGTGTCCTCTCTTTCTCCGCTTCATCTTCTGCATCTTCTGCTATACTTACTTACCTCATTGCACCCCAACATTTCCAAGTACATTCGTATCTTTTTCATTCTGGTGCCTGAGCTTCCAAGTTGGTGCTGGATTTTTTAGGGCAGGGTTGGGCGATGTTTGGGGCTTGTGCGTTTATTCGACATTTTGAGGAAAAGGCCCTAGAACCACCACAAACCACTGAGAAGTACAACTGCAAGACCACAGTCTGAAGCCTAGAAATATGAGCTGCATGGTACTCTTCCACAGCAGAACTCTTTCTAGCAGGCTTATTTGGGAAAGGGTGAAAACCCTGGAGAGATTCCAGCACATCCCCTTAAACTGCAAAAGCAGCAGGGAAACCCTGGAGGGGAGCCATTGCAGTCTGGAAAGTCTGTAGACAAAATACACTGGAAATGTTTGTAATTTTGCTGTGTTTTTTGCTGTGCCAACTGATTCCATAGAATGATTGGATGGGGCATAATTTCATTTTCCACCGCAGGAGCTAGAGTGAGCCCAATGCTCTCTTCTGGGCTTGCTGATTATTTGGGGGAGGTCCATGGGTCCATCAGGAGGGCTCAAAGCTGCCCCTTCCTGCATCTGCACCCAGCCTCAGCCACGATCAGCAGCAGGACAAGCAGGACCAGAGCGGCCACTCCCAGGCGGATGCTGGTCTCGGAAGACAGGCCAGCTGCAAATGTCCGAGAGAGAAGAGTCAGTGCACAGAGCAAGAGGCCAGGCGGCTGCTCACTCCCATGGGCCACTCCTTGCTCTCCTGTTTCCCCAGGTGAGCTCAGGGAGCGGTTGGGACTTGGCAGGAACCCCCTGTGCCTGCAGTGCCTCTGGCAGTCTGTCCAGTGGACAGGAAGAGGGCAGGGCAGCTGCTGGCTGCAGCTTCTGGAGCAGCACCCTGCCAACTTCACAGCTCCGTTGCCGAGGAGTGGGGAAATCACCTTCCCAAGTGCTTCCTCCTCAAATAAGAGGAAGCCAAGCTCTGGCCGAACATCAGGAAGAAATTCCTGACTGTTGGGGCAGACAACAGTAGAACCAATTCCCGAGGGAGATGGTGGGGCCTCCCGCCCTAGAGGCATCCCAGATGCAGCTGGACAGCCCTCTGGTGGGAAGTACTTCTGCAATGGAGAGTGGCTTGGACCGACTGGTGCCCTGCCCCCTTCCCACTCTCCTAGCCTACGATTCTACGACTCTACGATTCTGTGACGTTGCTCCCTGAAGCGGCACCCACAGGTAAGACCAGACGGGTTGCACTCCCCTCTCAGGTGGCCTGGGCTGATGGGAAGATAGCAAAGCAAGCCGCTCACCTCTCAGACGCAGCTCAACAGGGTCGCTTGGCTCGGACAACAAAAAGCGCTTTCCTTTGCGATGATACTGACATGCGTAGGTCCCTGCATCCTCCGGGCTCATCAGGGAGAGAGGGAACTCGGCTGTGCTTCTGTCTTCCTCTGCCCACTGTGATGCTTTCCGTTCCCTGGATTTCAGCAGAATAAAATGCAGACCCTTCTCTGGCCCCTGGCACTCGATGGTGACGTTCATGCTGAGAGCAGGCTGGCCGCTGGGCCTGACCTGGATGGAGGGTCTGGGCAGTCCGGGATCTAGGAGTAAGCGGGGAAAAGACCATGAAGAAGGAGGGAATGTGCCGGAATCAGTACTGGTGGCATATTGTCACCTAATGAAGAATTATTATTATTTTTTGGTAAAGCTTTGCTTATGGACTTTGAAGTTCTCTTCTGCCACTCCTGACAATACCACTCTGGTCCTAAGGGAGAGCTCCAGTTTTGTCAGCCAAACATCTCAGGCGCATTCCCCAAGCAAGGTGGAGGAATGCAGAACTCCAGAGTGAGCTCCTCACCTCTCAGAATCAGCTCCACTGGGTTACTCTGGTTTGACCATACAAAGGGATGTTCTTTGTGGTGGTATCGGCAAGTGTAGCCTCCTGCATCCTTCCAAGTGCCCATGAAGATACGAAACGTGGCCACCCTGCTGTCTGGTTCTGCCAACTGTGATGCTTTGATCTGCTTTGATCTGAGGAGGGAGAACCTCAGAGCCTTCTCTGGCCCCCGGCAGCGGATTGTGACCTCGGCATCGAGAGCGAGCTGACCCTTCCGCTGCAGTTGCATGGAGGGCTTGCGGAGATTGGGATCTGACAGGAGGAGAAACAGGGGGACAGAAACAGACGTTCATGCTCCTACCCAGCTGGATTCACCTACAGAGACATTTCTGGAATGCGCAAAGCAACATTCCGGATGATGCAAATAACACTGATGCATGACAAAAGTCAGGAACTAAAATTATTTGTATATTTGTCTGATGCAGAGGTTCTGCAGCTTGACCCAAGAGCCACTGCAGGTCCTCCTGTTGCATTAGGCTCATCCACATGGAGGCTGCAAAGCTGTTAAGGACAGATGTACTTGGTTCTGCATGCGATTTATTTCTCCTGATGACACGGACTGATCATCTGGACTCCACCAAAATGGCCTCAAAGAGACCAGTGAGGCATTGCCCAGAGTCAACAATATTGATAACATCATATGGTTACCAGATTATGTCTAAAAGAGAACCAAAAACCCATGGTATTTCTTAAGGCTTTTTTAAAAAGATACTAGTATTGAATAAATGAATGTTGTTTCCTTTTCCTTTCCTTTAATCGAAAAGCACACTGACTGTATTAGAATGGCAGGAATGTGAGTATGAAAATCTGAGTTATGCATGGGATTTGATTTGTAGAATAAGAAGGAAGACATTGGAGAAATTTTAAAAATAGATCTAGAAATGTCACCAAGAATGGTGTTATTACTGTTGATAGAAAAACAAGATATAAATGAAGTTAAGAAAGAATTGATTGTAGAAGGAAGACAAGAGGGAAAAAAAATTGTGAATTGCTACTCTGATGTATGGACTAGAGAAGAAAAATGCTAAGCCAGAAGTATCTCCTTTGTGAAGATAGGATACTGTCTTTGTCGTTCATCTAGAAGCGCACTGACTGAATGAGAAAGGGAAGAATGCAAGTCCAGTGGTACCTCGGCTCACAAATGCCACAGTTCACGACCAAATTAGGTCACAAACAAATATTTCTTTAAAATTTTGACTCAGGTCGCGAACTCCACATTGGGTTTGCGTTGGGTTCGCATTGGGTGGCGACTGTGATTGCGACCATCTCCGCACCTCCCACCCCCCGAGTGGGAAGATGGCCACTATCATGCTGGGGGTGGGGGGGGGGGTGGCAGGAACACAACTCGGCCATCCCCCCCCAACATAATCGCGCCCCTCTCCCCCCCTCAGAGTGCCTGTGATGGCGCCATTCCTCTGCCCCCCCAGCATGCTGGGATGACGGGCGCGGGCGGTTGTGCTGGAGGGGCGGGCAGATGGCCGCACTAGTGCTCCGGGGGTGGGGGGAAGAGAGAGCTGCGATCTTTGTTGTTGTCAGGTTGCTTCACATTTTTCTGATAAAAAGAAAATAGTTACAAAACGGATTAACTTTATTTACATTGAACCTTATGGGGAAATTTAACTTGGCTCACAACCAATTTGGGTCACGACCAGAGTCCTGGAACGGATTAAGTTTGTGAGCCAAGGTACCACTGTACTAAAATCTATGCATTTCTATTGGAAGAATAGTAAGAAAAAAGTATTAGTTGTTGACTGAAACTCTTTGTCATTGTCAAGTGGTCAGTGAAAAAAAAAAAGGCTGGGAACTGCTAGTCTAACGGACAATGTAGAGACAGAACATGTAATGGAGTGGCCTTTGTGAAAGCAGGACACGAGAACCAACCCAGGTCCTCACCTGTTAGGTGGACGTATACTTTGTCACTGAAATATGAGCATCGATGATCAGGGCTGTGAGGAGAGCAATAGTCGCACCAATAGATGCCCCCATCAGATTCTTTGGCAGCGGTAATGGGAAATATTGCTCCATCCCTATCTGCTCTCAGGGTTTGCAGAACATCTGGAGCCCCTTCTTTGATGAGGGAGAATACTGCGTATCGATGCTCTTCATTCCTACAGGAGATCTTGAGATTTCCCCCCACGGGAACCTCTTCACTGCTTACCAAGATGTTGGGCTTGCGATGTTTCTGTTCTGGATGAGAAAGAGCAAGTGAGATTTTAATGTGGAATATAAAAACAGCCTGTTCTGTTAAAAAGGAGATTTGTGTGCACCGACAGAACTTAAAGAACTGTAGCAACTGTAAGATCTCCAGTATCTGCAAGGTTCATCAGTGCGGTGCAGTGTACTGGTTGGAGTGGTGGAGTGGGATTCAGGAGATGTGGTTCCAGGCCCTCTTGATCGTGAAGCTGCCCGGATGAGTTTGGCCAGTCACTGATTCTTGTTGTGAGGATGAATCGGAGAGGAGGAAGACTATGCAAACCCCCTTGAGCTTTTTGCAAAGACGTCATGGCAATTAAGCATTTACTCAAAGAAATAAATCAACATTCAGCAAGACTAAGGTCTTCAGGAAGTGATTAAAGCCCTCAGAGCGGGGATGAGACAGGGAATGCGGAAAGCCTCCATGTTTAAGGCTGTCTCCCTGCAACCTGCCAAAGGTGGATGAGATCCCAAGGCCAGAACTGCTGCCAGTGCAAGATGAGAGCTGAGGCTGTTTCCTGCTGGCTCCAGCTCCACCTGCCTTACAGGAGGGCCCCCCGGTCATCAGCGAGGCTCTGAAAGGACCCAAACTGTGCATCAGCCTCAGTGTCCAACATCCTGACTGTAGGGATGTTGAACCCCCAAGAGAGCTCCTCAGCTCTGCTCTCAAAGCAGCCGACATCTGATCTCTGAATTTGCCTGAAAGTCAAGACCTCTTCCAAAGGTGCTGAGCCTGCTGTTTGGCAAGTCCCACGTATGTCACGGAGGATTTGGAGTATTCCAGAAGAGAGCCCGTTCTTGAGACCGCATGCGCTGCTGAATCCCAGCGCAAGACTTGGCCTGGGTCTGGCTGAATCGCTTGGGACTGTTGCCAGGAATGCCCAAGCCTTGCATAAAGCACGTTAAAAGATGGCCTTTGATTTGCTGATCTTGGAAATGCAGCATGCATTTTATAGCCATTTCTGAAAATATCAGGCAAAGAGTGTCACGTACTCACCTCTGACATAGATCTTTACAGGGTCACTATAATGTGAGGATTGCTGCAAAGGGTATATTCTTGATCTGTACATGCACATGTAAGTCCCTGCTGTTACATGTGTGCTCGCAGCAACGGGGAATGAAACCTCATATGCCTCTGAAAGTACCGTGCTGACGGTCCAAATCTGTTCTGACTTTAATTTGGCCAGAATGAATTCCACTTGAGGGAGCTTTTGGCCTTTGCAGAGGATGGTGCAGTTCCCCCGCAAAGGTACCACCACACTGGGGCTCACGGAGATGGACGGCTTGGGGTAAACTTCCCCTGCAGGAGAAAGAGAACACGACCGATGTGGAAAGCAAAGGACCTGCAAGAGTTCAGCTGGGAACTATCTGCCAGTTTCGACTGGGGAGCAAATCTCCACCATGCAGAGTTTCCACGGGGCAGGACCGGATCTGTCTTTTTAGCCAAAGGAGTGGAGATGATGTCACTTCCTCCCAATTCCTTTAACTTCTGCTCAGCAAGCAACTTTAGTGGGGACCCTGCATGAACTGGAGCAAAAGGAGGAAGGCAGCAAAGTCGGCCTTTCCCCGTGACTCATCCCATAGAAACTGAGAGGCCAAGGACTTCGGAAACTCCACTGCCTGTGTCCACAGCGAGAGCAGCACTGGAGGCAGGGTGGACTCCAGAGAGGTGGCTGCTTGAGGCGAAGGACAAGATGCCCCCCTGCCCTTCCGCAGGTCGAAGCAGCAGGACTGGCCCTGAATGTCGCTTGCCACCCGGTGTGGCGGCCTCACTCTGCCTTCTGTCAGGACCGGCCCTGATCGTGGGCCAGCAGGGCAGGGCTCCCTTTCACTTGCAGGAGACAGACATACCCCCCACCCCCGGTCCCAATGCCTGTACCTCATGGAAACACCTAAAGATCTCCTTCTCTCAAGGGCACAATAAGGCGGTGCGGGGCGTGGAATTTCCCTAGCACCGAATGTTAGCAGAGAGGGTCTGTGGGATCTCACATGCAAAAAGAGACAGGAAAGATCAGGATCCGGTTGCCGGCATTATTGCTCAGCGGTTGCACCAGATGAATTGGCTTGAGGCCAAGAATCTTGCCTGCTGCAAAACAGGAGAGGGTCTGTGGGAAGGTGTAAGAAAAGCAGATTTCCTGGGGGTGGGAGGCAGCAAGAATTCCCAGCGTTTCCCCACCCAGCAGCACGACGACTCATATTCTGGTGACTGGATACTCACCACTGGCTGCCCATCTCTGCCTGGTCAGCCACCAGCCTGGAAAGATGATTCCGTTAGTTGCGAGGCGGTTCAGCACCAGGAACGGAGACCGTGTCTTCCTCCCCTCACCTTCCTCCCCCCACCGCCCGCCCCGTGGTCCCAGGGCCCTTCCTCCCATCATACCAACCAAGGACGAAGAGGCCGAGGGAGGACCACCCCATCGCGAGGACGTTGCAGCCAGCCGTGTCCTAGTCCCTCAGCTCGGCAGTTCCTGGCAGAACATCTCAGGTTTGGGCCACCGTTTCCACTGGACTATGGTGCACCACCACACAGTGCTTGCTCCTGAAGTGCAGTTGCGTTATTACCTGAGACTGTGGCTGGGTATTTGTAGGCAGCCTGGCCAGCCACATCCTCTTTCTGATTGAAGCCGGAATTTGCAACACCCACAGGAATCAAAATTCATTTTTGCTGCTTTATGCTCATCATCACTACTTAAAATATACTATTTTTGTTAGAAATCAATCAATCAACTGTGTCCAATTTTGAAAGAATCTGTTTGTCTGTATTTGCCCTCCCTCAATTGGACACAAGTAGGCCTTTTTTCCCATCCCCTCATCGGCCTACAGTGTATTCTCCCAAACACTGGAACAAGTCCTGTCACACATGGAGATAGCTGACCATCTCAGGGGCACTGCCAATGTTTAGGCTGCAACACTTTATAGACTTTCATGTGGGGGAGCCTCCTGCAACACGGTGGGTCCCTCTTTTGGGAAGACATCTGAGGACTGTAATGTAACCCTCTGTCAGCATTCAAGAGAGATCCCCTTTCTCTTTGGTATTCCACCTTCTGCCCTCGCTGGTGGAGGATCGGGCCTTCTTCCCCAGTTTTTCACCATGATGGCTCCCAGCATCAAGGAGAAGAAGCACATAATGGCTTCCCACCAACAAAGCAGGGAAGGCAGTGGGGAAGCAGCTCGTTTTGTACTTTTGCGCTTTCTCATCACTTGAGGAAAGGAACGACTTGGTGGAAAATTCATGCATGGGCGCCACACTCCCCCAGAAGTAGGCCATTTCCTCTGCAGCGGTAGAGCGGCTTGAGCGCCCTGGGGTGAAAGGAACACACTTCTCAAGAAGGCGCCATGGCTGTGGGTCCTGCTGTGCTGCGGCAACATGGGGGCTTGCTTCCTCTCAGCGGCTGCAGCTGGGATGCGGGGCCCTGCCCGGCCCCTGCCCGAGGGGCCCCGGACCAGGAAGTGTGCAGTGAGCACAGGGGGCATCTGGGGTTCCTCTAAGGTCCAGCGTCCTGCTCTGAGTCCAACAGGGAGGTTTCGTTCCCTGTCTGGAAGTGTCTCTGCCTGGACGGCTAGGTTCAGGCATCGCTTCTGACACTCGGCTGTCCAGAAAGCCATATGCAATGCTCAGTATTGTTAGTGTGCAGCTGCGAGGGGACGTAAAATGCCTCACTTCTATTTATATCATCTGAGAAGCCACCATAGCAGAACTGACTCGGCTCTCAGCCACAGTTGTAGGTAAGATACAGATAAGTTGCAGGTCGCTTGGTAGACAGCAGTTGTTTGCTTGCTCTGAAGTGCTCTGTGTGTTTGTGTGTGTGTGTGTGTTTGTACTGGATTCCTGCTGGATTCAAAAGACGGTGGCCGTTCTATGCAGGGAGGAAGGAGCATGGAGACAAAGGTCATCTCTACACTGGTCTTTTCCTGCAAAGCACTGGGAAGGCAACTTTCAGCTGTCGAAATGTCCTGCCTTGGAGTGGGACCTGGACCACCCAGGAAACTTGGAGAAGCAGCTGGCACAGCTGCACGGAGTGGCGGGGAGGGTGTTCTAGGCTTGGGATCCTGCCTTGGGTGTTGGAGTGAGCTCCCAAGGCCAGAGATGGAGCTCTGAATAACCTGACAGACACAGGATTGCTCTGTAAAAGCAGAGAAAGTGATGGACCTGCAGCACATGTTCCTGTCTCTTAAAGTGTCAGGCACAAACCAACTACAGGGTTCACTCAAGGGACAAGCCAGCCAAGAAGAGAGAGAGAGGCCTAATTCTGCATCCAGTGCTGAGCAGGAAGAGGAGGGGAGATGATCGCCAGCTCCCCACGCCTCCCCCTCAGATGGAGTGCCTCCTTCTGAGGAACCCCCCTCCTCCGAAGGCCATCAGCACCGGCTCTTGCATTCCGCTGGGCATATTCTGCACCAGGTCTTGGGACCACCACTTTGCTATGATAGTGGCAAATATTGCCTAACATTTAGACTTGAAACCATATTTACTGCCTCCGCTGCTGCAAAGCAGAGGTGGCCACGCTCCAGGGAGCTGCCTTGGTTCCAGTGCCCCATTCTGAGGAACAGCCGCTTCCTCAGAGTGCAGCGAACAGAGCTCCAAATCCTGCTGCGTCTTGTCTTGTGCCGCTCAGAGACTGTGGCTGCGTCCAGCCTGGAAGGCCCTTGATGTTAACAATGAAAGGAGATTATGCAGCTTCTCCAGCTGTTCCTCTGAAACAGATTTTATACAGTGAGAAAACAGGTGGAGGAAGCAAGGGGGGGATATGGGAGGTTTACAAATGGCAGGTGATCACATCTAGATTCCCCCCCCCCCGATTCCTACTTTGAATACCTACAACAATCTAAACATTGAACAAGTAATTGGCATTATTTAATTTATACCCTGCTTTTCTACCCAAAAAATGGTGCTCAAAGTGACTGATGGTCCTAAGAAGAAAAACAGTCAAATTAAAGTATTAATGCATCTGATACTTGAAAGCAATAATATGGATAGGATTTCTTTAGCCTATCTTTAGTAGTTTTCATTTTCTAATATGGACATTTATGTCCTGCCCTCCTATGTATGATGAAATCAAGGCCAATATTTTACAAAGGAAAGCAGAAATCATAACAAAATTTGTTGTTTCATCAGCAGCAGACCAAAAACAGTGTCACAGATCCTGTTTAAAAGCACACACACAAAGCCTCGCAACATGGCATCATTCCAAGAGGCTGTTGGAGGGCCCATCCCCTCTTGTGTCCCCCCAAGTGCACTTCTGGGGTGGAAAAGGAACACGAGGGGCTTTACCAGCTGTTCCTCGGTTACCAGGTAACTTCACAGAGGAAGAGGTCACTCCTGGGTTACTTTGGTCACAGGCCACTGAGGGCTTTGAAAAGCTGGGTCAGCAACTTGAACAGAGTATGGAAAAAATATGAAGCTGGGAAAATGGGAACAAAACAGATCCAATATGCAGCCCAGACACAAGCCATATGGACTAATGGATTGTTTTGCTTGGACACCTCCTCCAAGAAAATCACTACCACTGACTAACAGTACCACAAAAGTTTCAGTTCTTCAATTGCATATTGACCATCAGCCCAAATTATGAGGTGATCTCAACTGTCATTCTCTGGGTGTTTGGACAGCTTTGGCTCAGTGTCCCTTCCATAGGACAACTGGCTTCTCCAAATGTTTTATTTCCACAATGTTGAGTAAGTATGTTTGTGCACAGAAATAAGCAGTTCTGGCTTGCTCAAGCCAGCCTTAAACACAGCTCAGGGGGATGCTGAAGTACCAGGGGCACTGCTGTGTCCAAGAGGCCCTGCCTCTTGGCTCTCCCTGGTCCTGCTTTCAGCCAGTGATGCAACGACGCAAGATTCGGAGGCTCTTTCAGAACTGGCTGCTCGTTTGGTCTTCAGCGAATGGTGGTTCAGCATAGGGGACTTCATCAAGATCTGCTCCAGTTTGGGGATCTATCAGCTACAGAGGGCAAAGAAAGGAAGTAGGCAATTAAGATGTTAGGCAGTTAGCATTAGGATGCCTCCTCCTCCTCCTCCTCCATTTCATTGCTGAAGCTGCAGCTGAAGCTCTCCTACAATGTCCAGCATACTTACAATCCATAAGGATGTTACTCTGGAATAGCTGAACCATTCCTAATGATAGATCAGAAACAGGGCAGAAGGACAACCGGTTGACCACAGTCAATCTGGTGCTCTAGCTCCACTTTGAAAATTATGCACTGCTAAGAGGGGTTGTCAAGCAGAACTGCCCACACAGGGCTATATCATAATGGTATCTTCCCGAGGGGATTCAGTGCTAACCAAGTCCTTATTGCGACTGATGGTACTAGACTGAACCATTTTCCACCCTGAGAACTAGGCACTTAGATCTTTCAGTGTAGCCTTCATAGAACACAGAATGGGCTGCAGTACTTTTCAATTTAATCCTAGAAGTGTGTGGCCCTAACCCCTTGCTTTCTTTTTTTATTTTCAAATTTTACATCCCTCCTTTCCTAGAACTTTCAACAAGGCAGTGAAGAAAGCATACACTTGGGCCATTAAAGAGGACATAAAATAATCTGGAATAAATAAAACATGATAGAAAGCACAAAACAATATGGAGGACAGGGGCAGATACAAAACAAATTCAAATTATACCTGAAGAAGCCAGGCACTGGCCGGGAGAATTTATAGCAGAGTATTCCCTTCTTCTGGTGTGAGGTCCCCCATGTTCAGGCAGGTGAACGTGGACCTGGCCTTCTAGATCATCTCAGTTTGGGTAGATTGATATGCATGGAGACAACTCTTAAGGCAATCTGCCCCTGGGTGGCTTAGATTTTGAAAGGCCAACACTAGGACTTCAAATTGGGCTCTAAATTGCCAACCAGCTCAGAAGACACCGTACTGGCATTGTGGCTCAAGTTCCAACATGCTACCCAGAGTGCTCTCTAGTGATCCATCAGGAAGTGTTCAGTGCATGACCCACAGCGGCACTGGCTTTCTACAGTTCGGATCATTCCCTGTGAAGAGGATGCTTTCAAGCAGTGACATGTCTAGATAAGGCTCAAGGATCTGAGGACCTAGTCATGGTCCAGGCATTTATTTGTAGGATAATCTCTTACCGCATCTGCTGGTTTTGTTCTTTCACTGGCCACGGAGCCTGGGGATCAAAGAGACTCCATGAATTTCTTTATGAAGTCTTTTAAACATTAGAGCTGTGACCTCCTCCCCACAGAACTCCTAAGAGCTGCCCTTGCTTTGTCTCTGCTGTGCTGCATAAGACTAGAAACATCTGCATGAAGATAAGCAACATTCTTCCCTTCATTTCTACATAACTTAGACCAATATGCGTGCCATGCCCATTTTCTTTTTAATCTGGTTCCTCGTAAGGGTGCAAAGATCAGACCAGAATCTGGTTCTCTTGCAGTCACTTGACTTCACCATGCTTGGCCCTGGCCAGAAAGTGAGCTGAGCTGAGCTGAGATCAAGTCTGTGGACACTCAGAAGTGCTAGAGGGTTCTTTGTGCAACGCACACAAAGTATATAATTCTTTGTACAAAATACACTACGCACACAACTCTTTGCATGAAGCAACACCCATACGTCATGTGTGTGGGAGCAGAATTCTGCTTGAGCTCACTTCCTGCCAGATGCCCACATGCATTCTTGGTGCAAGCAGACTTGGGGAAGAATGAAAATTGGCCAGAGTCTTGGGAGCTGAGCTGAGCTGAGCTGAGTAAATCTGATGGATTCCCACGTCCAACCCACATTCCTCACACATCTGTAGTTCTTCTAGACATTGAGAGAAGCACTATGCAAGGCAATGAAATGCCCATTCCCCAAGCTCAGGTTATTCCCTTGCTTTTGAACTTCCACTACACTGATATTTTCTCCAAAACTTTCAAGCGAATTATTACAACTATAGGGATGATATCCTCCCTCCCTCCTCCTGTTGTTATTGTTTTAAAAGAAGGCTTCATTCTCTGACATGGAACCATGGGAACATAGGACCAACTTCTGCCCAGGAGGTCTTTCCACCAAACTCCTCTCACAAGAAACATGAGTTGGTGCAGTCCCCTGGCAAAGACTATACTGTCTCAGCTATGCAGACTTGATTATTATTATTATTATTATTATTATTATTATTATTATTTAGAAAATTTCTAGGCCGCCCCATTTGCCGAAGCCTCGGGGCGGCTTACAAATAAATAAATTAAAATACATAAATAACAATATAAAATACATGTAACTGTATAAAATAAGTCGCCCTGGCCAAAAAACTTTAAAATAAAAATAACATTAACAATTAAAATGATGCTTGAATGAAAAGGTCTTCGCCTGGTGCCGAAAAACAAATAACGACGGTGCCAGGCGGACCTCTCTGGGGAGCGCATTCCATAGATTGGGCACCACCACAGAGAAAGCCCTCCTCCGAGTACTTATCCTCCTAATTTCCTTCACGGAAGGTTCCCGGAAAAGGGCCTCTCCCGCTGATTTCAGGGCGGGCATATATGGACGTAAGCGCTCCTTCAGGTAGCCAGGACCCAATCCGTTTAGGGCTTTATAAGTGATCACCAAAACCTTGAATTGGGCCCGGACTTCAATGGGAAGCCAGTGAAGCTGACGGAGGACTGGAGTCATGTGAGCATAACGCCCAGTCCCCGTCAACAGCCTGGCAGCTTTATTCTGAACCAACTGAAGTATCCGGACCATCTTCAAGGGTAGCCCCACGTAGAGCGTGTTGCAGAAGTCAAGGTGGGAAGTCACCAACGCATGTGTCACTGTCGCCAGGCAGTCGTACTCCAGGTAGGGGCGCAGCTGATGGATCAGCCGAAGCTGAAGGAAAGCGCTCCTTGCTGCTGCTGTCACCTGAGCTTCCAGTGAAAGCTCCGGGTCGAGGAGCACTCCCAAGCTGCGGACCTTGTCCCTAAGAGGGAGTGCAACCCCATTCAGGACTAGGTTCAATTCACCCTCACTGAAGCCCGATCCGCCAACCAACAGGACCTCCGTCTTGTCTGGATTGAGCTTCAGTTTATTGGCCCTCATCCAGCCCACTACCTCAGCCAGGCACCAGTTCAGCACAGCCACTGCCTCACCTGGATTGGTGGAAAATGAGAGGTAGAGCTGGGTATCATCAGCGTACTGATGGTTCCGCAGCCCACACCTCCTGATGACCACTCCCAGCGGTTTCATGTAGACGTTAAACAGCAAAGGGGACAAAATGGACCCCTGCGGTACTCCATGGCATAGCTGCCATGGCGCAGAGCCATAGTCCCCCAGCACCACCTTCTGGAAACGGTCATTGAGATAAGAGCGGAACCACTGCAAAGCAGTGCCTCTGACCTCCAATCCCGCTAGCCTATCCAGAAGGATACCATGGTTGATGGTATCGAAAGCTGCTGAGAGGTCCAGAAGAACCAACAGGGACGCACTCCCCCTGTCCTTCTCCCTGCACAGGTCATCATACAGGGCGACCAGAGCAGATTCAGTACCGTACCTGGGTCTGAAGCCGGACTGAAATGGGTCCAGATAATCAGTTTCATCCAAGAGTGCTTGGAGTTGTCCCGCCACCACCCGCTCCAACACCTTGCCCAAAAACGGGATGTTGGCCACTGGTCTATAATTAGTGGCCATCTCTGGATCCAGTGACGCTTTCTTCAGGACCGGTTGGACTACCGCCTCCTTTAAAGAGGCAGGTACCTGATCCTCCCTCAGAGAAGCCTTAACCACTTCCAAGATCCAGATCCCAATCCCGTGCTTGGCGTTATTTATTAACCAAGATGGGCAAGGGTCCAATAGGCAAGTGGTGGAACGTACTTGTCCAAGCACCTTGTCCACATCATCGGGCCGCAATAACTGAAATTCATCCATTAATTTTGGACCAGGTGGCGGCATTGGTATCTCCCCCAAAACCTCTGAGTCACTAGTAGAGTCTAGCTTGTGATGAATCTGAGCAATTTTCTCCCTGAAATGCTTGGCAAAGTCGTCACAGCAGGCCTTCGAGGTTGAAACCAGATCTTTCTTGGGGCCAGGATAAACCAGGCCATGCACCACTCGAAAAAGCTCCGCCGGACGGCATTTTGAGGAGGCAATGGAGATGGAGAAGAATTTCTTTTTCGCTGCCCTCACCGCCACAGCATAGGCCCGATAATGGGCTCTTAAGTGTGTTCAGTCAGATTCATCCCATGATTTCCTCCACCTATGCTTTAGCCGTCTCCCAGCCTGCTTCATCGCCTGCAATTCAGGTATATACCAAGGGGAAGAGTGGGCTCTGCCCGGCGGGAGAGAACGCTTAGGAGCGATCGTGTCAACAGCCCTGGTCATCTCCCCATTCCACAGTTCAACCAGGGCCTTGACAGGAGCACCAGTCCTGTCAACCGGAAACTCCCCCAGGGCCTTCAGGAATCCACCCGGATCCATCTGGCTCCGAGGGCGGACCCACACAATCGGGTCTGCACCCTTATAGAGGGAGAGGCTGCTCTTGAGCACAAACCTCACCAAGAAGTGATCTGACCATGACAGGGGTGTCAGGCATAAATTCTTCACCCTCAGACCACCCTCTTCCTGCCCCGTTGAGAAAACCAGGTCCAGGGTGCCTCCACGTTCATGGGTCGGGCCGGTGACATGTTGAGACAGCCCCATGGCCGTCATGGAGTCCATGAAGTCCTGAGCCGCCCCGGTCAGACCAGTCTCGGCATGGAGATTGAAGTCCCCCAGGACCAACATCCTGGGGGTCCTCAACACCAGGTCCGAGACGATCTTTGTCAGCTCAGGCAGGGAGACTGTTGGGCAGAAGGGTGCACGGTACACCAACAGAATCCCCAATCTGTCTCGGTCGCCCAACACCAAGTAGAGACACTCCAGCCCTGGCCTCGAAGGGACCGGAAGTCCCGTGAGAGAGATGGAGGCTTGGTAAACCAAAGTGACCCCCCCTCCCCTCCAGGCGTGGATGGTGCTGAACCAAATACCCGGGCGGGCACATTTGAGAGAGGGCGACATCCCCCCCCTCCCGCCCAGGTCTCCGTTATGCAAGCCAGGTCGGCCCCCTCATCCACAATCAAGTCATGGATGAGGGCAGATTTATTGTGGACCAACCTGGCGTTAAGCAGCAGCACCGTCAGGCCCGAGGGGCGGTTGACAAGACTACCTGGCACCCTCCGGCTGGGGGCAGAACCAGAAGGAGGGACAGGTGTCAGCCAACTGTCCCTCCTTCTTCTACACAGACACGTTAAGCCCCCAGCGCTGTAACGTCCATTGCCCATGACCACCCCAATGGCGGTGCCCCCGCGCTCCCCAGGAAACTCAAGCGTCGGCATGGCCAGGGACGATTCCATAAAACAGATTAAAATACAATAAAAACTTTAAAACAATAAAAAACTCCCCCTTTTCCCCCCAGTACAAAATTAGAAATCCCCCCCACCGACCTAGTCCCCCCCCAGTCCAGCCCCGCACGGCCACGAACGGCCACAAACGGCGGCACTGCCCTTTGGCTGTCGCCCTTTGGCCACCGGCCCCAGGCCGTGTCCGGCAGGTTAAGCCTGCACCTGCCCACGCGCCCGGCCCCGATCCGGCAACAAGACACCCAGCGAGCCACTTACTTCTTGTCTTTTTCCTGTACAAAAAGAAGCCAAGCATTGGCAGAAGGAGAACCAGAAGAAGGCCTGTGGCACAGCTTGCCCATATGATTGCCATGTGCTTGGGGACCACCATGGCTTTTACTTGGCTTGGAGCATCTGCAGAATCATAGACGTTTTGCGTTAAAGTGCTGTTAATGCATTATCGTGCCACACTCGGTGTGCAAAGGGATCGGGAGTGGCTCATCCATATGAGATGGCCTTTTCCAAATTGCAGTCAAGCAGTCCAGAGGTCAAAGCTGACAAGGCAAGTCAGTCTGAAGGGCAAGGGGAAGCCAAAGCCAGTCGGGAGTCGAAAACCGGAGAGACAAGCTGAGGAGAAGCGGGAATAGAGCAGAAGGTGGATCAGGCAAAGACCGGGGAGCCAGGCAGGGTCCAGAAGCGGAGGCGGGAGCAAGGTGACAGGCAGAGTTCCCACAAACAGAGTTCCCACAAACAGGTTCTAGAAGGCACAGGGAGCACCAACCACATCAAAAACCTTCATTCCTGAGGTAGCATCTGGAGGGAAGAGGCGGTTCTTCTATAGCTCTTCCCTCAGGACTCCCAGGTGGTGCTCGCAACAGCCCAGGCGGCTGCAATTGACTGTGGGCCCAGTTCTGCAACCCCCAGGGCTGCTATTCTGGTCCCTGGCCAGAAGAGGGAGCCCTGATGCTGCCTCAGAGCCTCACAAAGGCAGACTCACTAAAGGAAGGACCCTTCAGAGTGCTTTGCCCAGGGGCCCCCCTAAAGCCTGGGGCACTGGCATGGTGTGGGAAGCAGAGCTGCTTCTCCTTCGCTGTCTTAAAAAAAGCCAATATTTTAGTCAATGTAGCTTTTCCATTTGATGCACAGTCCCCGCACAGGCTTGGAAAAAGGACGCCGCCCCCATTTGAGTGTCCATTGAGAAGATGTCATGCAAAGACTGAGTAAGACCCTCACCTGTTACATTGATGTGTACTTCGTCACTGTAATCTGACCACCAGGGACCCTCATCTGATTTGGAATGATATATGCAGCGGTAGGTCCCACCGTCAGATTGTTGGGCATCAACGATGGAAAATGCAACCTCTTCCACCGCTGCCACCTTGGTGCTGCGACAGTCCACGGAAGCAGAGCCTTCTTTGCACAGCGAGAATTCCATGCCTGCGTACCCTTGGCTCTTACAATGGACAGTGACGTGTCCCCCCAGGGCAACCACCTCACTCGGGCTCACAGAGATGGTGGGCTTGGGATACCTTTGGCCTAAATGAGAAAAAGGGGAAAGGAATGCGTGAGAATGAGGTCTGGAGAGCGGAGCGTCTGCGGCAGTGTAACTCAGCGCAGTGGGAGTGTCGGGAGCAACACTGCAAGCGCCTGCAGAACCAGGGACGTCTTTGCAGGCGCTTGCAGGGCACAGCTGGGGGGCCTGGAGACCAGCGCAAGGGGCCTCCCTGCACTGCTGCTCTTCGCCACAGCATCACACACCCTCCTTGGGACTCCCATCTGCTCTGGCATCGCCTTGGCTGAACCCTGCTTTCTGCTTCCAGTCTGATGCTGATTCCCAGGCACCTGCCCCCCCCCTCCCTTGGACTGTACCTTTGGATGGTGATATCTCGGAATGTGCTTGCTTGGATCTCTTGTCTGCCTGGCTTTGACCCTGGACCACTAAACAAATGTGCCTCTTGCTTCAGGCCCGTTGAACTTGCTGCAGGACTCCACCATGCGCCTGCGGCCTGGTGTGCTAACCTTAGCTGCCTGCTGCCCATGCCCCGGATCTTAAAGGAGGAATCTGAAGGAGGTTAAAGGCGGTTCTGTGGCAATGCGCAGGGCAAGATTGGAAATGTAATGAAACCCGGGCTGGTGGATTCATTAGAATGACCTGCGAGTCTGTGGTTGTGAGAAGGGATTGCTTGAGTGGGACAAAAACCTGCTGGGGCTCATTTAGCCTGGCAGATTCCCTCCCATTAGGGAGATACACTGAGTGGTGGCTACCCTCAGAGATGGACAGAGATCAGGGGGACTAGCTTTCTCCCCTTTCTCCCAAAGAATCCGTTAATTAAGTAGTTTGTGAGAGCAGTGGAAGCAAGCTAAATCTGTAATAGGCTGTGCTGTGACTGGAACCACCAGGGAGGGCCCAGGCTGGGCAAGGTGTCCTACTGTGGTGAAAACAGCCTTCTATTTTGGAGAGCTGGCAGGGGGCAGTCCTCTAGTTGAAGAGGTCCTCCCTTTGATGGACTGCCCAGTCCAAATCTAGTTTAAAGTCATGGGAGACTGTTGACCCCAATGTCAGTGGGGATCTGTGGTGCTGATCTGTACCCCAAAACAGGTTCACCTGCATGGATAGCTCCTATGCGCTGCTCGTATAAGGAGTCCCGTCAGTATAGAAGTCAGTAGTTTCCTCTGTTCAAAAAACCACAAAGAGAGGAGGGTTGAGGCCTTGACTCTGCCCATCAAGAGTTAGCACCTGAACAGCAGACAGAGAAGGCACGTGGGTCACCTCCATGTCTTTTTCCAAGATAGGGATATCTTCAATTTCTACTGGAAAAACAATTCATACTTACAAATTCACACCCATGCAAATTTATATGTGTATGTATATGTTATTCCATTCTCTGTTGTCCTCTTTTTTTGGTGGTATCTAAGTGGCCACCCTAAGGAAGACATATGCGGAAACCAGCAGAGACTATAAAATCCCCAGGGCTGTTGATGATTCATGTTTGAATCGTGTGCAAATGAACTGGCAATTCAGTATGACAGGGATGGCGCATGTGACCAAAAATTAGTGTGGCAATGGACAAGGGAAAAACAGCCTAGTTTGTGATGTGTCTTCACAGCAGCTTTGAGGCAGCTATAGCATTATCTAGATCTAGATCATTTTAGTTGGAGATATATCTGATCACATGCTAACTGCTGCAGCTTATCTGCAATTAAAAACCCAGCTACAGAAGCTCATTGAAATGTTGGGAATCCTTTAAAACAAAAACAAGCAACCCTAAATCCAAACACCTCGTACTTGTCATCTAGTTTGGCCATATAAATAGAATGAAGAGGATCTTGAAGGAAGAATCTCGAGAAAAATAAGGGCAGAAAATAGAGTTTGCCTTCATTACAAAATTATCCCCCACATACACCAGGGAAGCCAAGTTTCATATAGCTTAGAAAGAAGTGAGGGAGGAAAGGAAATCCTCCTTTTTTCACAGTTTGGTAGAACTGGAAAATTTTGTAAGGATAAGTAAGGATAAATTTTGTAAGGATAAATTTTGCCAGGATAAGTGATGCCAATGTGGTTGTAGAAGCTAAGAGCATTTAATTCCCATTCTGTCTCCACTATCAGTCCCGATATTAATAGTCTTTTGTCCACCAATACTCACATCTAACCATCCACTTCTGTCCCATCAGCATCCATCCTGGAAAGGAAATGAATCCATTAGTGGAAAAGTAGCTGGGCAACAGAAAGAGGTCGTGTACCTCTGCTCTTTCCAGCCTGCCACTGAACCTTCCAAATCTAGTACTCTTGCAGTAATACCAACCAAGAAAGAGGACATTGAAGGAAAATCCCATGGTCAACAGTGCTGTTTTCTCTCTGATTCTCTTGGACGGAGACCTCAGCTGTGGGCTTTTGAAAGATGCCACTCCAGAAATACAACCCTTTTCTCCAGCTTGTACGATCCCTCTGTGATCAATGCAGCAGCTGTGGTCCACAACCTTCAAGCATATTTTGCAGCAACAGAACCAGAAGAAGCAAACCGTTCTCAAAGAGTTCCTGATTTGTAATGCAGTATCACCTTGTGAGCGCATGCGTGCATGCCTGTAAGAATCAGTTCAATATGCAATTTCTTAAAGATAACCAAACTGTAGATTTCCTCCTTTAGCACATTGTCTCAGAGGAAAACTAGACTGAAATCACCATGGGGGATGTTGACACGCAACACCCAGTCTAGAGCTTTCCCCCATGAATAAGCTCCAACTTACTCTAGCTAATTTTCCAGTTTTTCATTCCAAAGCATCATTGTTTATTCAATTTACCCTTGAATCAGGATTTCTTTTGCCAGCACTTAACATTGCGTATATTCCTGTGATGCTTAAACCTGACAGGGATCATACCTACTGTGCTACTTATTGACTTGTTTTGTTAATCGATGTTTACAGTGCTTTTTTTGTAAAAAAAGAAAAAAAAAGTTGCCGGCAGTAAGCACTCAGCGCGCGACCACACACACCAATCCCAAGCCGAGCAGCGTCCCAAGCCGGGCGGTGCGGACACAAAAGCAGCCCGCAGGCACTATGTTAATGATGTTGCTGCTGACCTGCTACGCCGACAGGCGATTCAAAATCACTTCGTAAAATCCATTGGAAAAAAAGGTGCCGGAACGCCGTTCCGGTGCATTCTATGACAAAAAAAGCCCTGGATGTTTATATTCAGATATGAATAGCTATCTGGGCTGATAGATTGCAACAAGTTATTACAACATTAGTCCAGCCAGATCAGACCTGCCTAATCAAAAATAGGTAGGGACAGATACTCTCAGATTGGTTGTTGATCTGATAGCACTCTATAAGGACAGAACAGACGCGCCGCTATTCTTTCCCTGGACACAGAGAAAGCTTTTGATAAAACTGATTACAAATGTATCATTGCTAACATGGATAACTTTTCTGTAGAATTTCTGAAATGGGTCAGAATATTATATGCGACCACAAAAACTAGAATTAGGACTAATGGCCTTTTGTCTATTTTTTAAAAACTTGGAAGAAGTACCAGACAGGAATGTCTACTTTCCCTCTTGATATTTGATCTATGTTTGGATTAAACATTCTCTTTAACGGAATACTAATATTCACATATTTGAGCACCATTTTTGAAAATTGTCTTAGTTTTGAAAATCTGATTGCACTGCAAAAACATCATTTACAAAGACAAAGTTATAAGCAATTACTTCAACATGATACTGAGAATGAGCAAGTAAAAATATGCATGATAATTTGGATGCAGAATTTTCAGAAATACTATTCTGTCAATGGAAACTTTATGGACAAAGGATATAAAATTCACAGCCAGTCAAGCACTCAGAGAAAACTGGTACAAGATTTTTTTCAGTGGTATATTATCCCAAAAGATACAAAGAAAATGGGCAAGAATTCTATTGCAAAGTCTTGGAAATGTAAAGATTGGCATTAAGGGATTCAATAGCCTCAACTTACCAATGTGCATAGAAACCTTATTCATGGTATCTGGGCTGCTAGGACTGCAATGTAACACAGTAATTTTCAGATTTTTCCTGCTAGGAGTCCGACAAGTCCCTTGATCAAACTTTCTTGTCTATGTGATCTTACTGGCACATCAGAGTGCCTATATTTTTCCAAGTTCCAGAATTACTTTTGCTTTTCATAGTGCCTGCTTTGTCTCTCCCTGAACCAGAAGCCCGCTTCTACTTCCGACCACCTGCAATACCCAAAGCTACATGATGAGGTGACATGGTTCACCGCACAGCCCTCCCTCTTTCATTCTCTTTCTCTTTTTGAAGCCCTGAAGAATCTACTCTTTGACTGTGATTTTGTTTTCTTCTGAATAAAACTTACTTCTGGAGAAGTCCTCTGCTTCCTTTCCTGAACTCTCAAGAAGTTTCTCCACTACTTTGACTAAATGATCTAAAACACTTCCAGTACTTCTCTCTTTGTTGCAGTTTGGCAAATGGTGCTTACCTGCAGCCACCTCTGCTAGATAAACAGCAGGCCATCTCCAACCAAACAGAGATGCTAATCCATTGCACCGTGGGCTGGTTCCCCAGTGCACGGCTGAGTGTATTTTCCCTGACTGTGGTCCAGAAGGGAACACTTTCCCTAAGCATGGTGAGATAGTCTGCAGAAGTCCTCACTGAGCAAGCAGGGTAGCAAAGAGGAAGCGTTTCCAACCCTTTTCAGAGAATGCCCCTCATTTTAGAAGCTAAACTAAATAGGAGTGGTGATAATGGGTGAATGGAGAGATTGTACGAACTTGAGCTGGACATGGCCCCAGGTTCTGTGCTTACCCAGTTAGGCCCAAGTTCTCATCTGGGCTGCAGATGATGGTTTAAGTCACAGGATCGGTCATTTTAGGCTTCATATTCTTTGAAGGCAGGGCCCACTCCACATGTTGCATGCATGGGCTTATACAAGGGCCCTGCTAGACGCATCCCAACATTTCACAATTCCCTGCCCTGTGCGTAGCTTCTGTTCACAGATTTCCATGCACAATGTGCAGAGTTTGGGAGCAGGGCTGCTGGTGTGGCTATGCTTCCCTAGCATACATAGAAAACCATGCACATGTGCAATACATGTGAAAGACAAACATGAAAAAGAAGTTAAAGCCAAGCCATGAGAAGAGCACTTTCTGAGAACGTCTGCGACATGCAGCATTCAAAGAACTTCACTATGTTGTAACCCCAAAGAAGTTCGATTTTACTTAAAGTAGGGTGCGTAACATGTTGGCCTCCAGATGTTTTGGTCTAGATATTCTCTACTCCTGTGCTGCCAGTCCTTCCACTGAGACTGGACCCTGCTGCCCTGGTGCCAACATAATGAGCCCCTAGTCCTCTGGGGATGGCATCAGGAAACAGTGGGGGCTGCATCTTCAGAGCCTGTGCAAACGTTCATCTCCTCCACTGCTTCACATTCTGTGACAGAAAACAGGAAAGGGAACATGGCTTATCAAGCAATAGCGTCTTTTGACTGCGGTTAACCACAACATCAGATCTCCAGGATAACTTCTGGGTGAGATATGGGAGCCACTTGAATGCCTTTTATTTCAGAAGCTGCAGCCCCCACTGAGAGCACTGTACTTGGGACTATGGAAATGATCGCTACTGGCCACTGAGCTGGGTGGTCTTTCAGCATGGATCTCTCGCTCAGCTTCATCTGTCTTGGTGGGTATTGTGTGTGGAAGATACTGGTACAGAGGCTGGGCAGTAGCAGACTGGGAGGATCAGGTCCCCACAGCCAGATTTCATTCTGCAGATGCCTTTCCACTAATGGCTTCATCTTCTTTCCAGGATGGTGGCTGGTGAGTCTGCGAGGGGCACCTGGAGGTGAGAATCAGTCAGTTCCACCTATTTCTACTTGCAGTTTGCTCTTGGTCACAAATTCCAGTGGACTGTAGATGAAGACATTTGCAAAAGCATTGTGTTTTTATGAAAAATTAACTGAATGACACTTTCACAGCTCCCTAAGAGCCTATTAATTTGGGGGGACTGAAGAGAAGCCAAACATCAGGGTCTCCCCCAATCCAAGCTGCTTGTCTTATGTCTGCCTTGCGAACTGCACGCTGCCACGGGCATGTTGCCAACCCCTGCTCTGCTGGTGCCAGAGTTACTGTCCCCTTTGCTGGTGCCAGAGTTCCCGTCCCACAGGCAGTCCAATCCAGAACAATTGTTCAGGCAGGCTGGATGTGGCATCTTAGTACTAGAACTAGCGATGGCAATACCAAGCAGAAGGATTATCCTATCAACTTAGTCCAACAGGTAGCACAAGATTGGTGCTGTTGCTGAGCGTTTGATAAGATTCCCAGTTTTCCAGCTAGACATTTCAGTCCTTGCAGGTAGTTGTGGTTAGATTAGCAGGTTATAGCACTTCTCATATTGCAAAGCCTTCCTCTTAAGCTGAATACCAGGTTACTATTATATTACAGGCTTCTCTGGCCAGGGAACTTTGCTAGACCTCTGTTAGAATCACAGTGGTACTGCTGCCAATTGTCAATTTGTCGGGCTATGGGAAGAATCACGATTTTTGGGCCATTCAGGTACCCAGAAGGAACTTCTCCAAACTATCACACCTATGTGAGGATTAGGGAAAGAGAGTGAATCCATGCGAAGAGGAAAATCAGATCATTATCATAAAAGAGAATGGGTTGAAAAGCAGTATTTTGTGCTGCTGCAGACAGGACTCGAGTTAATGGACTGGCTTTGGGGGAGGTAAGTGTTGGGAGCTATGAATACACTTGGAAGGTGACAGTCGATGGTTCCCAGACAGTGCATGGAGTCAGGCAGGATGATAAAAGTGCGTTTCCAGATTTGAGGCCAGAGACAGAGCTCCAGCATCCCATGGGGCAATTCAAGTTCCATGCTCCTTCTGTACCCACAGGATTCACAAGTTGGGCAAGTAAACCTTAAAGAGAGACAGGAGAAAAGAAGGGGTGAGGACATGAGCTCTCCTGAGGCCTCCCATCCTCCATTCCTCCTCCTCAGAGATGCCCCAGATAGACATCTGGAAAAGCCGAAGTGACAGAGCAGGAAGATAGGGAGGTGAAGGTGACCCCACCAGGCCTCCCTCCTGTGCTGCACTGGATGACTGTAGGTCCCCCTGGTTGGGGACTTCCACTCACTGGGTGTGGAAATAATAGGATTGTGGCCAAAAGCTTAGAAGTGCAGAAGTAACGCTATCTGTGGCTTTCATTCCAGATCCAGCAGAGGTTAGATTGGTGAATGGATCCAGCCGCTGCTCTGGGAGAATTGAGGTGCTGTATGATGGGAAATGGGGGACTGTGTGTGATGATGACTGGGACCTGCAGGATGCCCGAGTCGTGTGCAGACAACTTGGCTGTCAAGATGCTATCTCAGCCCCAACAGAAGCACACTTTGGAAGAGGACATGGTCCCATCTGGCTGGATGGTCGCAATTGTGGAGGGTGGGAAGATGATCTCAGAAAATGTCCTCGAAAATCTTGGGGAATGTATGGATGCAGCCACAATGATGATGCTGGTGTTGTGTGCTCAGGTAATGAACTGGAATGCACCGGAACTGGTTCTTGACTGCAGTTCCTCTGGCTGCCCCTATTCATGCTTTGCGGGCAGATGTGGGTAATATCCTTCCATCCCTTCTGAAGAGCCAAAGTTACCCTGCACTGATCTGTTTATTCACCACATCCTGGGCTTGGTGTAGAGCCCTCCTGGCCTGGCCCAAAGAGAATAGTTAAATAATGTAGGAGACCAGAGCAGGCAGCTGCCTAAACTGAGGACAAGGCAGAATGCGCTCATGTTTGGAATACACAGAAAAAGACTTAAAATTGACCTGATGAAAAGCTGAGCCTTCTCAACTTCTGAGAATGGATTCCAGGCAGGCTGACAGATCTGCATCTTGCAGATTAGAAATTAATTTCCATGCAAGAAGCATGTTGGTGGGTGAATTGATAGGGAAGAAAGGATGATTCGAAACAAGGAAACAGGAAGAGTGAAAATGTAACAAGGAAAATTCCTTAGCCATAGGAGGAGGGGGCCGGGATCAGATAGCAGGAGGGAATTGGCACGTGGACAAGATAGCAGGACCCTTGCTCAATGACCTCATGAATATTAACTAACACACCCTGCCTGAAAAATAAGCTCATTCTAATTCACCTGGGAGGGACAAAATGGGAGGGAAGAACAGGTATTGGAGCGGCACAGAATAGGTGGACGGAAAAAATTGTAACCTCCCAAAACCTCAGCCAATGAGGGAGAGGAGGAGGGAAGAAGCGGATGGGGAAAGGGCATAAATATGGAATGTGAACATGTGCTTGGTGAGTTGGCAAGGGGAAGGAAACCCTCCGACTCCCTTTATTACAATAAAGTTCCAAGACAGAACTCTGCTGCCTGGTGCATTTGCTCTTCCAAGGGAAAGGAAAGAGTGGTACTAACATGAGTGGACAGACAGTGGGGATCCCAGGGGGCCTGTTTCTTAACTACTCTGGTTCACCAGCTGGATGAGAAATCCTAACTGATCCTAACAGAGGTTCCTTGACAATTTTGCATGTGTTACTGAGTTCTCTCTCTTATGATTACATTGCAGCTCTGCCTAACAGTGACAGCTCACGTCATGGTGCAGGGAGGGTGGAGGTCTGCTGCAAGTGGGGCACCGTCTGTGATGCTGGATGGCATCTCCGGGATGCCCAGGCTGTTTGCAAGGAGCTGGATTGCAGAAATGCCTCCCAGGTTTTCCAGGGAGCAAAGTACAGGGAAGGGACTGGCCCCATCCGGCTGCAGAGCGTTTCTTGCACAGGGTATGAGACTGTGCTTGAGCGGCACTCAGGTGTCCTTCTTCTTGGCACATTTTTTTATCTTACTGGGTACCACATGAGAATCAATGTTTTGTGATGGCCAGAGGTCTGTGACTGTGTTTCCCTCTTGATCTCCGAGCAGAGTTCCGTCTAGTCAATGGATCAAGCCCCTGCTCTGGAAGAATCGAGGTGCTGCACAGTGAGGAGTAGGGAACCATTTGTGATGCTGGCTGGGACTTGCAGGATGCCCATGTTGCATGCAGGGAGCTCAGTTGTGGAAATGCCTCCAAAGCATTAGGGGGAGCCCATTTTGGCCAAGGCTCTGGTCCCATCTGGATGGAGGGCGTGAATTGCACAGGAGAGGAAGCATTCCTGAGAGACTGTCCACAGGGGCCCTGGGGACAGCACAGCTGTGACCACAGCCAGGATGCGAGCGTGGAGTGCTCAGGTAGGTTTCGATCATAACACATCCTCAGAGAAGTTTATGCGGAGGCACTAGAATCAAGAGCAAAGACATGGGACTGCCCTTTGGTCCTGCTCCTTCTTGCCCTCTTGTAATATTCTGTGGCTTAAGTCTTCCAAATGAATGAGATGTTGCCTATCAGTAACTCTCTCCAGAAATACCTGGCAGATAGACAGATTAGCATTACCTCCTCCAACATCAAGCGCGAAGTCATGGGACTGCCCTTTGGCCGTGTCCCTTCCTGCCCTCCTGTAATACAGGCTGGTCTCCGCTCAGCTGCAAACCCTGTTTCCCCCAGCTGCCATACAGGTAGGTCGGTCTTGGAAAAGAACAGCCAGAGCGGAGCCATTATACGATCTGGGAAGGAACCTCTGGGGCCACAAGAGGAAGTGTTATTGACCCAAACATGCGTCAAACTAAAGTTTTCCTCCAGGGCCCTACGAATATTAACAACAGGCTTTGTCTGAGGTTACTGTGGCTCAGAGTATGGTCTACTCTAAGCAGGGTGGACATTAATCCAATCCTGTGTAAATGATATCAAAAATTATTCATAACAATTTTCATTAGACAAAGAAGCCCTAAACTGTAATTCAAATGTTTTCCCTGTGAATAAATCCAGAACTAATGCCGGGAGATTCAAGAGTTTTACAAACTGAAGAAGATGCACATTTAAGTGGCCTGAAAGATAACTTCTGGGCCAGTTCTGAGATGTGGGGGGACTCAGAGGCAGAGATGCTGAAACTGGTCTGTGGAAACTGATGTATTTTCTCAAGTTCTTATAAGGAAAAATGCAGGGATGGATGGTAAGTGGGGTATGGAGAGGAGATTGTAAAAGGGCAAAATAAGGGATTTTCGTGATTTCTGAGACTCTAAGCGCTACTTTGATGTTCACCTCACTGGATTTCCCATGCTCAATTGCACTCCAGTTTCATCAGGTTTGAGAGGGAAAATGTGTGTTCCAAATGGAGAACTTGCGCATCCACAATTTGGGAGATAGTTGACCACTCCATGGAAATGTGCTCTTCTTCATGTTCACAGCCAGTAGTAGAAATGGGAAATCAAATGTTCCCTTGGTTCAAGCACTAACAAAATCCTAACATGTGCCTAGGAGATGGATGTTCATCCCCATGTCCGGTGGCGTCTCATGTATCAGCTGAGCACAAGCTGAAAGTACAGCTCAGTTTCATTTTCTGTTCAGAACTCTTCTTCACCATGGCATGCACACGGTGGGCGTGTCGTGAGCGGAGCTGGCTGGAGCCAGGGGTCAGACTAGATGGCCCGGGAGGCCCCTTCTGACTCGCTCTGCCTCTGTGTTTCTATGTTTCACCAGCACCTGTCTGTTCAACTCAGCATTATTTAGGCAGAAGGCAAGTGGAGGCAAAAAGACAGCCAATTGGCCGTGCCTGCTGATGCTTCTTGGGAGACTTTTTGGGAATGGGGCAGCATAAAAATGTTCTAAATAAATAAATGTGCATAAAGAAAAATATATGCTTGGAATGTTAATAGTGGAATGAAATGAAAAGGAGAAATAGGAAATAGCAGGGCTAATTCTGCTTTCATCCTTTCCAGGAGGAGTCAGATTGGTGAATGGAAGAAGCCGCTGCTCTGGGAGAATCGAGGTTTTTCACAACCAGGAGTGATGAACTTTGTGTGGTGATGGTTGGAACCTGAGGAATGCCCAAGTTGTGTGCAGGGAACTGGCTTGCGGAGGTGCCTTGGCAGCCCATCAGAAAGCTCACTTTGGGATAAGAAAAGGTCCCATCTGGCTGCCTGATGTCATTTGTGAAGGGACAGAAGCATTTCTCAAGCAGTGCCCCACAAATCATCAGGAAACCCACTGTTACCATAACAATGCTGCTGGTGTTGTTTGCTCAGGTAATGTGTGCCAATGTTCTGGAGGGTGTGATTAAGCACGGGTAAGAAATTCGTTCAGTTCCCATTTTTGTTTGAATCTATCAGATCCAAACTTCCTGCAATTATGCACAAGCCAGAACTGTGCCAACAACTGCACAACATTATTGGCACTTACCTGCAAAAGGCAGAGCCCAGAATGGCGCACCTCACATCTGCAATGGGGAGCAGCTGGACAAATGCACACCACTCCCTCTTAGTGTCCCCCACAGTGGGGGTAGCCCAGGCAGACAAGAGTGGAAGCCAGCCCTGCTGCCTTCTGCTGGGTGCCTCCTCCCTCACACTGGGGACACAGACGAGATCCATTGCATTAGCAAAAATGCAGCCTGCCCTTAACTGTTGGGCACCCAGTCGACCGTGTGGAAGCCTGGTTCGGGGATTACTGGTTGCATCGCTCAGAAATAGCACCTTAGAGTGGCGGAGACCCTACACTGAGGGAAGCAGCATCCACCTCCCTGTGCCAGCACAGTCTGATTGACACATGCCAGAAGATTGCTGGCTATTTCTACTGCAGCATCAAGGACATTCTGTTAGTGTGGGGAAGGAGGGAGATCTGGACAAGCTGAAGGACCAGTTGGTTAGGAAGCAGAAAGGAGGTGGAAATCCACTTACCTATACAAGGATGTGACCAGCATGGCATATGCCAAGGTGACTTGGGGCGTTCAGTGCAAGCAGCTCAGTCTCTGGGCATCAGTGTGGTGCCTGTCACAGCATCTGGTTGCCCTGCAGCTCTTCCGAGAGGCCAACACATCCCAGCTTCAACACTTTCCTTATCAGTCAAGGATCCTGGTTGGTCATTGTAGTGTTTCTTCTTCTCCTTTCTTTTAATATCAGATGCTAAAGAGGGGCTGGAATCAGGGACTCCATTGTCAAGTCCCTGCTGTGTACGCTGGTGACTCTGACAGTGGCGGGAATGGGGCTCCCCCTGGCGCTGGAGAATGTACAAACATCACTGCATTTCCCTGATTCACCACCAGTGGTGTGGGGTGCATCCTGCCTCTAGGGCGGGCCAGACCTGAAGTTTCCCAAGAGCAAATTCTGGGTTTCCCCCACATGCAGTGTTTGTACAGCTTCAGCCATAGTCATCTGAACCAGTCTCAGCCATAAGAAAGGTCTGGGATGAGGCGGGCTTGGACGTCTGTGACTGTGAGGACCCTGATCAAATGGTTCCTTTATAAAGAAGAAAGCATATCAGTGGAGAAGAGCAGAGCAGGGAGCTGCCTTAGCTGAGGACAAAGCGGGATGTGCTCACATTCAAAATAAACACAATTAGGCTTAAAGATGGTATGAGTAAAGGCTGAGCCTCTTCAACATCCAGATTCCACTGAAGGCTGGTGCTGGGTGAGTGGAGCAATAATGGGGATCCCAGGAGCCTTCATTCTCTGGTTCACCAGCTGCATGAGAAGTCCCAGCTGAGGCTCTTTGTCAGTTCCTGGTGCATTCCTGAGTTCTCTTTCTCTGGATTTTCTCAGCCGTCCGCCTAGCAAGCAGCTCAAGTCGCTGTGCCGGGAGGGTGGAGGTCTTCCACAACAATGAGTGGGGCACCATCTGCAACACTGGCTGGGATCTCCAGGATGCCCAAGTTGTGTGCCAGGAGCTGGGCTGCGGAAACGTCTCCCGGATTGTCGGGGCAGCAAAGTATGGGGAAGGCTCTGGCCCCATCTGGCTGCACAGCGTTAACTGCACGGGGGGTGAGGCCGCTCTGAGCGAATGCGCCAAGGGGCCCCAGGCACAGCAGAGCTGCAGCCACAGCCAAGACGCAAGCGTGGACTGCACCGGTGAGTCGGCAGGTCGAAGGCGGATTGGCTCACCCTGAGCCGAGCGGCAGCTTTCCGGAGGTCAGATTCCTCTTTCACTGCAGTCTGCTGTGCCGCTGGGTAAATGCTCTAGATGAATGCTTATGCAGCTTATTTTATATTTATTTTATATTGTATTTTTTTCCTAATGTATATATTTTAATTTTATTTATGTGGATTTAATTTATTGTTGTAAGCCGCCCCAAGGCTTCGGCAAATGGGGCGGCATAAAAATGTTTTAATAAATAAATAATAAATAATAAATAAATGCTGGATGGAGCTTAGTCCACCTCAAGGTAATGGCTTTTTGGTGCTCACAAATACCATTAGGAATATTCAGCATATTTTTAAGCAAGCCAGTGCCACTATCTTAAAGTAGGCAAGGTTCAGAAGTTTGCTATAATGTGGTGAGGATTTTAAAAAATGGATTTATCAAAACTGTTCCTCCAAGGACCCCAAAACTTTATAGTGGAGTCATATATAATGGAAAATGCTTTCCATTCCATGAAAAACAAACTGTGCCTGTCAAGATGTAAACTTTTGGAAAGTGTGGAGAGAAAAATGTGTCCAAACTTCTAAAATTCACACAAATATTTGGGGGAAATGTATACATGTTGTGGGGACTGCAGGTGGCGCAGTGGTTTAAACTGCTGTGCTGCTGGGCTGGTTGATCAAAAGGTCACCGGTTCGAATCTGCACAACGGGGTGAGTTCCCGTTGCTCCGTCCCAGCTCCTGCCAACCTTGCAGTTCGAAAGCATGCAAATGCAAGTAGATAAAAAGGTACCACTTCGTTAGGCAGGTAACAGCGTTCCGTGCACTTCGGTGTTTAGTCATGCCGGCCACATGGCCACGGAGACCTGGGTGAAAACTAACAGTGCTGTTAAACATTGCAGGAGGGCTCAGTTTGGTGAATGGTAGAAGCCGTTGCTCTGGAAGGGTTGAGGTGCTTCGCAGCCAGCAGTGGGGAACAGCATGTGATGATGGATGGGATATGATAATTGCTCGAGTTGTGTGCAGGCAGCTTGGCTGTGGAGAAGCCTTGTCAGCCCCAGGAAAAGCTCACTTTGGAAGAGGACATGGTCCCATCTGGCTGGTTGGTGTCACCTGTGATGGGACGGAAGATGACCTGAACCACTGCCCTGTGAACACTTGGAGTGGCCACAAATGCTATCATTCAGAAGATGCTGGTGTCGTGTGTTCAGGTAAGGGTTGGTTGACTTGCCATTGGCCAGGAAGATGAATGGGAAATTTAGAGACTCCACAGTTTACTTAAGGACTGTCCATGCTTTTGGCCATAAGAGCCAGATCCAGTGATTACAGGGTGCCCAGGTGAATGCATGCAGGTGCAAATGCAGATGTACACATCAGTGCACAAAAAGGTGCATTGATCCACATGTATCATATGTGCACCCACATACGCACTCACAGAGATCACTTCTCTGCAGTAATCTCATACACAATTGCTCAGTTCAATCTGGGGATCAATCCTTCTCCCCAGAGATTTCAAAAGCTGCTGGAGAGAGGGAAACGTTCCCACACAGTTGCTTGGGGAAAGTACAGAATCTTCAGGGTCTCAGAGAGAGGGGAGGCAACACCTTCTTTCTTCCTATGACCCCCTGGGCATTGCTTCCCCACAGCCACCATCCATGGGGGCAGAAGGAGCAAGGCACAGTTTCAGACCATTTAAATGAACATTACTGTTATCTGGAAGGATCTCTTGCTGGAGGAATTGGTTGGGTAAGATTTTGGGGGTGCATTTTTGTGTGCAGTCCCACTTGAACCCAAGGGAATCTTTAAAGAAGGAGAGCCCTATGAAACCCCAGCCACTCTTTCATGAACAGAAAAATTCTCCCTTAGATTCAGATGCCATCACAGTGGATATTCCGTGAAATTCATGGAAAGGAATCAAGGGCAGAACTCCTAACTGATGGGCAAAAGCAGCAAGTAGACCACTGGGAAATCCAGGCAGAAAATAGGGACATGTTGCACTGGACAAGACCAGAGAAAATTGGCCTTGATTTGCAAAAGATCAGGCTGAGAACTTATAAGGCTGACAAAAGTGCTTTTGGGCTGCTCTTGTTCAGAAAATGATAAACAGCACATGCAGTGGGATGGATGGTGAATTCAGGGATGGTATCTATTAGCCTGGGATGGTTCATAGTTACATGATTTAGTTACATAAGCTCCTCTTTTCCTCCATCAGAGCTCCGTCTAGTGAATGGCTCCAGTCGCTGTGCTGGCCAGATCGAGGTGTTGCATGACCACCAGTGGGGGACCATTTGCGACTCTGGCTGGGACTTGCACGATGCCCATGTCGTGTGCAGGGAACTAAACTGTGGAAATGCATTACAAGCGTTTGGTGCAGCCTGGTTTGGCCAAGGATCGGGTCCATCTGGTTGGACGGAGTTAACTGCACGGGGAGTGAAGCAACCCTAAGTGAATGTCCAAAGACGTCCTGGGGAGAGCACAGGTGTGACCACCGCCAGGATGCGGGTGTGGAGTGCTCAGGTAACTTGTCACAATTTCATGTAACTACAGCCCTGTCTCAAAGGTAACTAAAATGAATATGAAATTCTAGCTGCATAAAGGTAAAGGTTTCCCCTTGACATTAAAGTCCAGTCATGTCTGACTCTAGGTAGAAGAGTCAGAAGCAATAATAATTATTGACTTTTTGTGTAATTTCCCACACTTAACACTATCTGTAATTTTTATGCAAGATCCCTTGGTATCTTTCTCTTTCATGTTACTTTTTCTTTGCTTTTTTCCTTGTATCTATTAAAAATAATGAAAAAATAAAAATCACTGCATTTGTCTTCTTAAAGAGTCTGGAATGATACAGCTCTATGTAGAAAAAGGCAGACGGGGAGGCGGGAGACCCTACTGTGCCTCCCATGCTGCAATGAATGACCATTGGCCCCAGAATTTGGGAGCTTACACCCATTGAGTGTGATAATAATAGGATTGTGGCCAAAGACTTAGTTGCGCAGAAATAACATTATCTGTGGCTTTGGATCATTACAGACCCAACAGAGATTAGACTGGTGAATGGATCCAGTCCCTGCTCTGGAAGAATTGAAGTGTTCCATGATGGGCAGTGGGGGACTGTGTGTGATGATTCCTGGGATCGAAAGGAAGCCCAAGTCTTGTGCAGACAACTTGGCTGTGGAGAGGTCCTGTCAGCCCCAAAAGACTCATACTTTGGAAGAGGACTTGGTCCCATCTGGCTGGATGATCTCAATTGTACATGGTTGGAAGATTCCATCAGTAAGTGTCCTAGAAAACCTTGGGGACAGCATGACTGCAGCCACTATCAAGATGCTGGCATTGTGTGCTCAGGTAATGAACTGGGTCTGCAATGAATGCAATGCTTCTGGGTGCTTCGATTCATCCTTTGTGGGAAAATGGTGACTATCCCTCCATCCCTACTGAAAGGCCTAACTTATCATGCATTAATCTGTCTATGGTAATGGGGCCACATACAAGGTTGGGTCCATAATCTGCCTTCCATTGACCACAGGCTCTCTTCACTTGACTTGGAGGTTCCCCTGACCACCTATGCATGCTTGTCCAGCAGAAGGAGTGGCTGCCATGGGGAAGAGTGGAGAGAGAAGTCCACTTTAGCCAATCCAATTGCAGGTGCCTAAATCTGGATCCAATCCATTGTCCCTTCATACTCGGCTCTCCATCATCTCACCAAGGAAAAAACAATCCCTGATCCAGAGTGTGTACCATAGAATAAATGGGACCTGATATCATTTGTGACAGCCCCAGGTAGCCATGGAGGCCATGAACTCCTGAGCAACAGGCAAGAGGGCGGTCTGCACATGGATATGTAAGCAAGAACTGAGGTGTGCAATTCAAAGCACATGGCAATTTGTACAGATAATCAGGAAGTTACATGCAAGCCGTCCAGAGACTTTTAGTAATGGGATGGTGTATAAACGCAATAAATAAATAAATGAATGAATGAATGAATGAATGAATGAATGAATGTAGGTAGCCAGACTACTGTGACTACAAAGAATTCAACAATACAGGATTTTTTTGGGGTAATATCTCAGTAAAATAGGCAAGAGCAAACAAACATTGAAGGGATTAAGAGAAGGGACAAAAGGGGGAGGGGATCCAGAGCAGACATGCATTAGCATAAGTAAATCAGGCATAGGTGAGGAGATGAGACCAACTAGCGTGTTTCCTGATCAGATCAAGGTGCCTGTCTGGTCCGTTTAAGACTGTTCCAGTCAGCTTCAGGGTTTCTGCAGAAATGGTGGTTGTGCTTGGAGTAGGTCAGCCCTGATGGAATCACTCCAGGAGGGTTCCAACTATGTCCAAGCATATCTTGACTGTATCACAGAATTCTGGGAAGTTGGAATACTCCATACAAAGAGAAGTGGTGGTTTCGTTTTCTGACCAACGGATCTCGCTTTCAGATAGGATGTGGCATTAACAAAGCTGCCTTTCTTACCGCTGCTGATAATGTTTGAGTGGTTCTCTTTCGTAGCCCTGCCACCACCAAATGGGTTATCTCATTTCTTACATTTTGCAAATGCTAATGTTTCAGGGCCTAGTGGACTCTCTCAGACTATGACTCAGGGTGCCTTATCCTAAATCCTTGCTGCTGGCACTTCTCTGAGCTTAATGGAAGAGGCTTACACAGGATATGACCAGCAAACAAATTACTTAATTAAAAAAACAACTATGTATGTGAGGGAATTCTATTGTTTATTTGGGGCTCTGACAGGACTTGTTAAGGACTCAAGGGGCACTGTAGTCAATAGAAACATTCTAGTGACTTGTACCTCAGGCCAAATTTCTTGCACTTGCACCTCAGCCAAGTCTCTCACCACCAGGTCCAGCTCTTGCTGACACTCAAAAGCAACTCCCCTTACACATCCTTTCCTAACTTTGGCATCAGGAGGAGGGACAATCCTTCCTCCTCCCACGGCATCACCCAGAAGAATTTTTTTTTTTTTTTGCAAGGGGAGGTCTTTCCCCAGGCAGGGAAAACACTTGCATGCACACAGAGGTGAGGTGAGAAAGCCCAGAAAGAGGGAAGACAAGACAAACCAGATTAGTCCCTGCCACTTGGAGGAGTGAAAAAGAGTGAACGGGATTCTGTGGAGTGAGAGGAGGGAGCTGACTCAGCTCTGTCCTGCCCACATCATCTCAGGTTAGGGAAGGCAGAGAGCAGACAAAGACATCACCATTTGTTCATTTTGCCACCCCCACTGTGCAATGGGAAGACACATGAGTCCTCCACGTTGAAAAGGAAGGCTCCATTTGAAACATGAGGTGAAGCAGGTCAAGCCCCAAGTGGAACTGAACTGGATGCTGCCTTCCTTGCACCCCCGTAGATGGCAGTCCCATTCTGGGCAGGCTCCCTGCCTGAGGAGGAAGAGCTTTGGAGGCACAGATCAAGGTTTGAAAGGTTCCACGGTGAGACACAGTCTGCTGAGAAGCAGCTGAGAGCTAAAAGCACCCCACAACATGAGCAGTATCTTCTTGCCAGGCCTCACTTGTTGGCTCTGAGATCAGAACCAGGGCCGGAGGACAGAAATCTGTGTGTGTTACTCTTTTTGTTCTCTCAGAGCTCCGGCTATTATATGGCCCAAGTCGCCGCTCTGGGCGGCTTGAAGTCTTGCACAGCCAGCAGTGGGGGACCGTGTGTGACATTGGCTGGGATTTGCGTGATGCCCAAGTGTTGTGTGCAGAGAGCTGGGTTGCGGAAATGCCTCAAAGGCTTTAGAGACACCCTGGTTTCCTGAACGATCCAGTCCCATCTGGCTGGAGAGTGTCAACTGCACGGGAAGAGAAGCATCCCTGCGCGACTGCCCCAAAAGTTCCTAGGGACAGCATAGCTGCGACCGGGGAGCCGGGATGCAAGCGTGACGTGCTCAGGTAAGCCTCTTCCACATGGCGGACCCTCAACTTGGTACTCAGAGTTAAATCTTTATCCTTATGAAACCATAATGTACCCAACATATTTAGATTGAGTTCAACTATGCAGGGCAAAATTACTTTCATTACAAGACTGAATGAGATCTTTGAGAGGGATGAGACTGCCCTCCACTCAAATAAATAGTATCAACCAGAAGAGTTGGGAAGAACCCTACTGGAATTGGTCCCTCCAGGCTTCCCTCAGCTTCTCTTTGAGCCCAGCCTGGTCTTCCAATGCAGGATGGGTCAAGAGGAAGTCCACAAGTGCTCACAGACCCTCATATGTGCCCATCTGGGGCTCCATTCCTGGTGAGTCAGCTGTCAGGGGCTGGGACATGGGTGTCAGGAGGTAAGACAGGGGCACCAGGACCAAGGCAACAGAACGTCAGGCAGGAGAGGGCCTGAACTGTAATGGTGAAGTCCAATAAAAAAATTCCACATCATAGTCACAGAGCAGGCCAAGATCAGAAACCAGGAGTATGTATGAGGGAAGATATGGATGCAGTCATGGACAAGCCATGGGCTGAGAACCAGGAAGGCAAACAGAGGTGCAGGATAACCTGGCAGGATACACAGCAAGGCAAGATGCAGGAGCTAAGCGATAGCAAGCAGGAAGACAAGCATTGCTAAAGCAGTACAAGTATGAACAGCATAGCAAGGCAGGACATGGTGGGAAAGGGTACATACAGCAAGGCAGTACAAGCAAACAGGTAAACTTATTCTGCAGAGGCCAATTCTGAAGTGAAGAGTTTGCTCCATTATAGCTCTTCCCGCTGGACCTCCAGCTGGCACTCATCAGGAGATTGAGAACTCCAGCAGGGCCCAGGACCAATCCTGCAAATAGTGAGATGGATTTCTGATGCTGGTCACCAGCTGGAACCAAAGCAGTCTAGTTCCTGATATAAGATTTCTTTGGCACGAGTTGCAGCTGCCCAAATGGCAGGAGCACTTGGAGTACAAGAGGGACACTGTTACCAGTCATGCAAATCTCTTTTCCTGGCAAGCTCCTTGTGGCCAATCGTTTTTAGCAGCTGCACCTGACATGGGAGAGGGACATGACACGTGCAGCATTTCTGGCTCATACCCTGCAAACACGGGGCATGCTTATGAGGAACTTGGACTCAGGGCTGCTGCAAAGCAGATGAGAATTTGGGGAGCCAAGCCCAGGGCATCTCAGAGATTCCTACCTCCAAAGACATTCCTCACACATCCCGAGTCACCAACCATTACCTCTCATTTAAGGAAGCATCTTCTCATCCTCTTAGTCTACTGGAGAAGCAGCTCCAGCTGTTAGTTAAGCAAATATCTGGAACTGAAGCTCAGAATAGCTGTTCAGAGCCCATCTCAGACACTTATGGAATGCGCTCCCCAGAGAGGTCCGCCTGGTGCTGTCATTTGTTTTTCGGCGCCAGGCCAAGACCTTTTTATTTAAACGATATTTTAATAATTGCTGACTTTATTTATTGGTTTTAAATTATTAGTCAGGATGTTTCCAAATTTTATATGTATTTCTATAGATATTAATTTATATGTTGGAAGCCGTCCCGAGGCTTATGCGAATGGGACGGCATACAAAAATTCCAAATAAATAAATAAAGGTCCCTTTCAGTGCAGATGGAAAACAGAATTTGCAGGGAGAGGTTGTAACAGCAGCCAGCTGCAATCGGATGTGCCAAAGTATGGTGCATTCCTTCTGCATTGCCCTCCCAGTGGAAAAAGCAGCCAGTTGAGCAACCTCCATTTGAAATAGTTCCTAAAACTGGCAAAACAAGGATGAGGAACTGGATGACACAGAATTAACATCACCTTTCCGTGTTTCAGGTCCTACACATGTAAGATTGATGGATGGCCCAAATCGTTGCTCTGGGAGAGTGGAGGTCTTTGGTGACCAGCAGTGGGAAGCACTCTGTGATTTGACCTGGAGTCTGGATAATGCCCAAGTTTTGTGCAGGCAGCTTGGGTGTGGAATTGTCTCTTCCAATGCAGTAGGAGTTCACTTTGGAAAAGGACACACTTGGATCAGCAAGCGTTGTTTTTCTTGTTGGGGGACAGAAGATTTCCTTTTTGACTGTGTTCAAAGTGGGGTGCATCCCTGTAGTGATGAAAACGTTGCTGGAGTTGTGTGCTCAGGTAATAATTTCTGGTGTTAGAATCTTTCAGCAGTTTGGGTTTTCCCAGGTAGTCCATCAGCAGCAGGTTTTCTGATAATTCTACTGATGGGAAAGGAGATTGTTGCAATCCCTCCATGGATTTAACATATTTGAAAATGCACCTCATTAAAAAGTTTCAAGAGTGGATTAATGTTAGGACATTAAACCTGCTCTTTGTGAGGCTGCCTGCTTTCTGAATGCCAGAAAGTTGTTGTGGGGATAAGATGGAGGAGGAGAATGATGTAAGCTGCCTTGAGCCCTTTGTAGGAAAAAGGCAGGATATAAATCCATAAATAAATAAATAAATAAATAATGCTGAGGCACCGCCAGGCTTAAGGAGGCCCTAAGCAAATGGCCTCCATGCCATTACAGCAAACCATGGGCTAATGAACAGAACTTTTGTGGGGGAGAGAAGACTTCAGGACCTCATCACTAGAAGAATGAATCCTTTCCTTTGAGCTTAGGGACCTTCTCCAGCCAAGGCACACTGCTTTAAGTCAGAGGATACTGAAAAAGAAGCACATCCAGTTCATTTTATATAGTGATGAATAGGGAAGCAGAATGCAAAGACGCCAAGGAAAGTGTGCACTCCCCTGCTCTGGAGCCATATTGGTTTCCCGAATAGGCTAAGGGAAGCCGCATGGGCCTTCAAAGGTGCCTGTGAAAGCAACATCCATTCTGCAGCGGTAGGAGAACTATTAAGGTGGCCTGCCCAAAGGGGCCAATGGATCCACCTGGTTTCCAGAGGGCTCAAGCTGTTTCCAGCGTGATGGCTGGTCCTCCTGTTGAAGCCTTGGTTGAACACGGAGATGACCAAGTGCTTGACATGGTCACTCCTAAGCACCCTCTCTGTGAGAGCTGAGAATAACCAGGCAGTATGGTGGACAGCTTGAATGCACCTGGAGAAAGCCTTCAAGTGGCTGCAATCAAACTCCAGTGTAAGTGTAGAGTCAGGTATGCATGTGGCAGCGAGACAAACAGCATCGCACTGGCCCTATTCAATCCTGTATTTCTCACTTAAGAGCTTTTTGGGTTGTTCAGGACCTCTTAATATAGTATGTTTGATGCATATCTTGGATAAAGTCTTTCATCTACTGGGGTTCAGACTCCAGTGTTGCAGTGATAGAATCTGGTGAGATACTGAGATCACACATGGTTAAGGTTATTGAATGAGTTGCAGTTGGAAAAATTCAAAGACTTTTGCAAAGTTTTTGGGCAGGTTCATGCAGCCACTTCCGTATTGTAGTCTGACTCTCTTGGCCTCCTAAAAACACAGAGGGAGGGGAGTCCCAGCTGGGCTAGGGAGGTGACTAATGCTTCCTTGCAAGAGGAAGAGGTCCTATACCAGCTGAAAGAGCACTCTTGAAGAAATCCTCTCTGGCACCAGAAGATCTTAACACCTTTAGGCAGATATTCTTTTCCTGGGCAGAATCCTTGAACAGGAGTGGTCCAGAAGGCTCCAGGCACTCTTGGATGATACCGATTATTGAACGCTCTTTCAGTCAGCATCCAAGCCATGTTTTTGCATGGAAAAAGCTTGGTCCAGTGGTTCTGGAAGAGCAAGAGATTTGGCTGCAATTCCCACCATACCTTGACTGGATGCTTAGAGGGAAGGAGCAGGATGCTACATAGATGTCCTCCTGGCCCTGACCACCCTCTCAGGATCCATCTCCTTACTCTTCACCTATCCATCCCTATGACTGAGAAGCAGAGACTCTTACAGGGAAAGCCATCCTAGGAATGTCCTGCTAGGCCTTTCCTAACTTGCCATCATTTGCAGTGCCTTTTCTGGGGAGGAGGTGCTGGTGAGTGGGTACCTGCTTTGATGTGATAGAAGCTGATTTTCTGGGGAAGTCATGCTCACAGGAGCTGTCTCTGGGCATCCTGGCATCCCAGATGACAAGAGAAGCACCGTTGTTTAATTAGAGGACTAGTAAGAAGCAGGTATCCTAGCTCTTAACACACCACTTTCACCCAAGCCAAGTCTTTAGGACAGCCACGGCTCTGCTACAAGATGCATTTCTTTCTTCCTGCCCCCGTCCCCCCTGCAGAGTTCCATCTTGTGAACAGCCTAAGCCCTTGCTCTGGGCGGGTTGAGGTGATGCACGAGCACCAGTGGGGGACTGTGTGCGATGCTGGCTGGGATCTGCGTGATGCCCACGTGGTCTGCAAAGAACTCAGCTGTGGAAGTGCCACTGAAGCACTTGGAAGTGCACAGCATGGCCAGGGCTCTGGCCCCATCTGGCTGGCGGGAGTGAACTGTACAGGGGAAGAAGCAACCCTGAGCAGATGCAGCAAACGCCCCTGGGGAAACCACAGCTGTGCACACAGCCAGGATGCAAGTGTGGTGTGCTCAGGTAGGTGCCCAGGACAAGATGCACCTGGGAGACACTGTGTATGACCGGGTCACCAAGATCCCTGAGGTCAAGATCCAATTCTTGCTTTATTGCATGTCAATGTGGGTGTAATAAACTGTGGGTGATGAAGCAGTTAAAACCTAAATCAGAGCTCCACTGAATGGAATTTTCTCAGAACTAATCCCAGAAATACTTGCCAGACACCCAAACAGTTGATGCCAGTGTATTCAGATGTGTCAGTCAATGGCAGATGTTTTAGAAATGTCCCTCCTTGCTAGGAAGCTCTGATAGGGTGTGGGGAGAAGGAATTTCCATGACTGGGAGAAATTCAGCCCCATAAAACCTTTTTGAAGTTGACTGCACCCAGAGTTGCCAAGTCCTCTAGGAAATATAAAAAGTAAACCACTGTTCCAGAAGTAAACCACTGCAGCAGTTCCACTTGCCCCACTCCCTCACCCTGGAGCCAGGCCAATGCATTCAGATCGGAGAATGAAGGTGATTTTAGGGAGTTGGGAATGCATGAAAAGCAGTGCTGGATACTGGCCTTATTTGCACAGGGTCAGGTGCTGTACTGCAATTCCCCATAATTCTCAGTTTGGGGAGTGGTAGAAGGATGCCTACAGGGTTCTTTTCCTTGCCCCCACTTCGGGCAATGGAGCAGTGGCAGCTGGCACCCCCCCAACCCTTGGCCCAGTGGAATGAGGAAGGAGATGATGGCACAGCATTCTCCTGCAGGGAAGGTCAAGGCAAAGACTGCCCCTCAGTTCACCTCCCTTGCTCCAAAGTGCTTAGGGAACATTTGAAAGGAGAAGAGACATGGAAAGAGGCTTCCTGTGTCCAAAAACTCAGGAGACCGGAACAAATATCAAATGGTCACTAGAAACAGATGGTGGGTAAGTGTTGAAAAAGAGATTAGTGCCAGAGCGAGAGAAGAGGAGTTGGCAGCAATCTCACCTGTTTCCTTCTATCCAACAGTCAATCATTCCTCCCTCTCTGGCCTATACAGGGGACATCGCTGTGGAAGTCAACATCCGCCTGGGAGTGGCTGGCTTCATCCTGCTCATCTTGGCCGAGGCTCTGTGCAGGAGGAGGAGGGGGCAGCTCTGAATAGGCCCAGCTGGCCCCCTGCCTCACCACGATGCTTCCATGACACACCAAGCAAAGTCCACAGAACCAGCTTCCCTCGCTTAGAGTTCCCTAGTTGGGTGAGACTGTTCGGCTCTGGGCTCAAGTCATGCCCTGGCAGTGCCGCCACCTTCTCACAGGACAGCGCTTCAGAGCTGCTTAGGAAAACTCTTCCTCCCTTTGCTTCAACTAGAAGGAAGGCCAGGCCTCCACACAGCACTGGAGAGCTTTCCCCCATTGCATTCATGTGATAGCCATGGCAACGACAAAATGAAAAGCAGAACTGCATTATGGGTACGTGATTTGCAGCCTCACAGACTATACCTGAAGTTTGCTTGCTCGGAGTAAAGACCTTTTGATTCAGTGGCACTTGCTGCCAAGAAAGCATGTGCAGGGTTGTCACCCTCACCTGGAAGCCTTCTTTCATGGTGTGGGTTACAGGAAGTGAAAGGAGAGAGAGGGAGGCCCTCTGAAGCACCTTTCTCTCTGAGAGAGAGAGGCCTCCAAGCCTGCCTTCCTGCCCTCCTCATCCTAGAGGGAAATCTCTCAGGCATTTCCTTGCTGCAAAGAAGAGGCACTGGTGAGTTCAGATTGTGTGGATGATGAACTATTCATAGTTTTTTCCATTTTCATGGGAGTCCTGCGCCCTTAATCCTTGCGAATGTGGAGGGCCAACTATAAGTGTTTCGACTTAAGGAGAAATTTCCATTTTCTCAGGAACAGAACTCATTCGCAACCCAGGGACTGTCTGTATATGACATTATTCATTTGCTTGTGTCATTTTCTTGCAATTACCAGTGTCAGAGAAATAAGCCCTTTAAAACACATTTCCTGAACTTGTGCCTACCTAAACAAAGGCAGTATTGAAACAGTCGCAACCACTTCTAGTTATATACAGTCGTTTGCTATAACTGTGAAATGGTTACTCATTTCCTCTTTACAGCACCCGCAATCAAGCCATTACCTCATTTATTTTAAAAGCAGTCTTGTGCTTTTGTAGGAAAAAAACACATGACCTCTCCTTATACTTGGTGCATGAATACTGCTTTGCTGATGTTATGGGATAGTGTGACAGTTAATTAAATTTTGCTTGAAACTTCATGATTAGGATTAACAATTGATTAGGATTAACAACAGAAGTGATAGTGGCATTAGGAGTTGGACTGTCCCTTTCTCTTCCCTCTGCTTAAATACAGTTTGGCAATGCTCAGAAGGTTATCTCTTTGGGGAAAGAGGGAGAGATATTAGGTATGTGGGGGGGGGGGGTGAAGGGGAGAAACTGTAGTTGGTGGAAGTTTTTTTTTCTTTTTCTTTATGTATATTGTAGAAGGTGCACCAGTTAAGGATCAATTAAAATGCATGTTTATAAGAGGATATGGTTAAAACTAAGAAACTAACATCTCTGAATGTTAAAGGTCTAGGGAGAGTAATTAAAGGAAACTAATTAAAATGGTGATAGCAGATACTGTATTCATACAGGAGACTCATGAGAAAAAGGAAGGGGTGAATGAACTTAAAGCAAAATGGTTGAATATCTATGAAAAAGCTTTTGGAAGTTCAGAATCAAGGGGAGTAGCAATCGTTATTTCTCAGACAGTGGAGTACAAGGTAACATAAAGAGATGAAAGAGGAAGATATTTGATTTTACAGGGTGAAATAAGGGGAGAAGACTACACATTAGTTAATATATATGCAACAAATGAAAAACAAATGTCTTTCTTAAAAAATGATTTTTTTCCCTACATCAGACCACATTTACCAGTCAGACAGTTCTTTGGTCCCCAAATCTGTAAGAGGGAATAACAGCTGAATTCTGGGAGACTGTAGCATTATCAAGGGATTGGGACACTGCAAGATTATCTTCCACAGTCTGTTAATTCACACTTGAACCTGTGTAATGAGGTGCATGTTTTAATATGTGAAACACATTGAGAGGTGTTAAGAAAAGAGGGAGAGACTGCAGAGTGGAGAATACTGCAGTCTCCTTTCTCATTGGTATGGAGAGACTAAAAACCTGCTGCTGATGGACCAGCTGGAAAAATCCAAAATGGGGACAGATTCTAATACCAAGGATCATTACCTGAGCACACAACTCCAACAAGTTTTTCATGACTACTGTCAGATGCCACTGTTTGGACATAGTCAACAAGGAAATCTTCTGTCCCTTTACAAGAAAGCCACACCTGTGGGTCTGAATGTGTCCTTTTCCAAAGTAAGCTCCTATTGCATTGGATAAGACATTTCCACACCCAAGTTGCCTGCACACAACTTGGGCATCCTTCAGATTCCATCCAGAATTACAGAGTATTTCCCACTGCTGGATGCCCAACACACCCTCTTTCCCAGAGCAACTATTTGGACCATCCATCAGTCTAACTTCTGTGTGTCCTGAAACACTGAAAGGTAATGTTAGTTCCGTGTTATCCAGTTCCTCATCCCCACTTTTTGCCCATTTTGGGGACCTCTTCAAATGGAGGTTGCTCAGTTCCTGGGAAGCATGACCAGCATTTGCAGGGCGTGTGGCAGAAATTGAGCTCCATATGTTGTGCATGTCACGCCCCAATCCCATGCCAGGTGCAGCTGCCCGAGGAGGCTGGTCACAAGGGGCTTGCCAGGAAATGAAACTCACACAGCTGCTAGCAGCACACCTCTTGCACTCCAAGTTCTGCTGTCGTTTGGGTGGCTGCAGCTGATGCCAAAAAAAGCTGATGTCCGGAATTGGACTGCTCTGGGTTCCATCTGGTGGCGAGAACCGGGAGTCCACCGCAGCATTCACAGGATTGATCCTTGGCCTTGCTGAAGCTCTCAGCTACCTGGGAGCCTTGGGGGAAGAGCTATAAAGGAGCAAGCTCTTCACTTTAGAATTGGCCTCTGCCAAATAAGCTTTCCTGTTTGCTGTAGTGCCTTGCTATATGTATTCTTTCCTGCCATGTCCTGCCTTGCTGTGCTGTGCATCTTGCCTTGCCTTGCTGCCTTAGCCATACTGATTTTCCTGCTAGCAATGGCTCAGCTCCTGCATTTTGCCTGACCTTGCTGTGTATCCTGTCAGGTTATCCTGCACCTCTGTTTGTCCTCCTGGTGCTCAGTCTGTGGCTTGCCCATGACTGTGTCCATGTCTTGCCCTGATACATACATACATGGCTGCAGAAGCTGTCCATTTCTGCTGGATTTCCCCCTTTGGATTTAGCTCCCAACTAGACTTTTGTAAGGGGTTACCCTTCTGGAATTTGCCTCCTTGCTGCATCCTTATTTTGGCTTCAGCTGATAATCTGCATTTGAGATGATTACCTGGAGTCGTTAATGAGGATATAGGTACAGAAGGAGACCAGTTAATGACACTTAGCCTCTTACACGGTTGCTTAATATGCTTGTAGGCTACTGCTTTGTTACTGAGGCTCCTCCCATTCCAAAAGCTGGCTCCCTCACAAGCTTGTCCTCTTTAGGTAGGTTGGCCCAACTGCTGAGGCCACCAATTAGATCAGAAGGTCTTGCTTGAAAAGGGAGATCGTGGCTGAAGTGAGGTTGTGGTCAAAGTCCTAGTCTGCCCTGGCTTCCACTGACTGGAAATGCATGTTAATTGCCCATCTAGGAGTGAAGATGTTCTAGTGGAAAGTCATATAAATAGTCAAAGGCCATTGGAGGGGCAGCAGACAAGGGTGGGTGATTTGTGAAGGGATGTGGCTTGGAAGACTGAGTTTGTGTGTATGTTTTAAAGTTGGACTCTCAAACTGTGTCACAGGAGGTAGGGAATCTCTGTGATCTCCATTTGTGCTTGAGGGGTCATCAGGATCCTCCTCTAGGGATGGGATGGCCAGGAATGCTGGTACTCACTGAAAGTTCCAAACGTGATTTCAAAGCTTACCTCACTCCCTGTCTTTCTTGCAGCCTGTTTTTCAGTTTGGATGAAGAGGGGGGCACACATTTTTTTTCAAAGTTGTACATTTTTAGAGTTGTGGGGATGGTGGGGAAGAAGACCAAACACACCTTTTTAAAATACTCTTATAGCTTTTAGGTACAAAAACTCAAGATGTGAGAGAACTTGGATCACCAGAGTAGATGTTCCATGAGGACATAAATGCTGCAGTGTGTAAAGCAACATATGCTAGACTCTAAATAAGGATTTTGAAGATGTGGGAGACACTGCCAGAAGATGCTTGTCGATGTTGTGGCACTGGGCAGAGAGGGACCCCAGCTCCCATACATTAGTCTGCTTAGAGAGATTCATCTGACTGTGAGGAGGAGGTGGCGAGGCAGAGCTGGGCACATGACTTTGCAGTGTCAAGATTACCCAGTGAAGATTCTTAGACAAAGCATGAGAACCAGCCCACCTTGGAAAAGGAGGCAGACATTTCAGAACTGGGGGGGGGGGGGATTTCGAGGTTATTCCTTGTTCTGGTCAGGAGATGACAGAGGAAATGAGCGAATTAATTATGCAGTGTACAGTGTTCTTTCTGCCAAGGTCAAGCACAAGGAGCTATCCTGAAGGTGGAGCCAGGATCTTTTCACAAAGGGAGGAAAGGGGGAGTCTCGTTTTGAACAAATTCCCGATGACTGTGGATGGGTATAAATGTTGTACCATGAAAAAAGCTGATCAGAAGAAAATGGATGCCTACAAAGCAGGGTGCTGGAAGAAAGATTTGCAAATAACCCTGGGCTGACAGAAAGAAGAATAAGCGAGTTCTTTGGATCAAAACACTTCCCTGGAAGTAAATGTGACAAAACTGAAGCTACCATACCTTATGAGAAGACAAGACTCCCTGGAGAAGACAATACTGCCTGGGAAAGTTGAAAGCAGAAGAAGAAAAGGAAGACCAGCTATGAAATGATTCAATTCCATAAATGAAATCACAGCTTTTTGTTTGCAAGAGCTGAGCAGGGCTGTCAAGCAGTGGACAGTTTAAGCAATACTCATTCAGAGGTCACCATAGGTCAGAGATGATTTGTCAGCATGTAACAACAACAATACCTCAGCTACTTGAAAAGTAAGCAATTCCATTAGATCAGGTACCTAAACATTAATCACCTTGTGCTAGTTATTAGTACCTAGTTTAGCAACACAATTTCCCTGATTATTACTGCTTTTCTTGGGAGCACCAGCAGCTGTGTGGAAGGTTCTCATCAGAGCTGAAGTCAAATGCTATTTCTTCACTGTAAGATTACTCCAGATTTGCATCCATTAAAGTGAGTGAGAGACCAATGAGGTTGGTGACCCATGAGAACTGTGCAGAACAGAGAACATTTGACAGGGGCCAATTGTCATCATGCAGGGACGCGAAGATCCAATTTGGTTGGAAGATGCCATGGAAGTTTGTTCCCATTCTGCTCCCTCCCATTCTCCCAAGATTAATGTCCTCTTATCCACTGCTTCTCACCTCTACACTTCTACCTCTGCCTGGTCAGCCATGTCCCTGGAAAGGAGACAGTTCCATTGGCAGGAAGATAGTTGAGCAATGGGACTAAAGTCAGATTCCTTAACATTTCATCCTGCCTTTTAACATTTTCTGGTTCCACCCACCACCTTCCAGGGTGCAAAACCAACTGAGGTTGGTGCTGAAGAGCCTCATGTTGAAGGACCACTCAGTTCTCTGGCTAGCGGGTGCCTCTTTGCTCCCAGTTCTGCTTTCCCACAAACAAAGACCTCATCTGGAGGTTGCAGCTTCTCAAAGGCAGCAAGGTTTTGTGGCATTCTTACTGGCATGTGCAGTTCCTCTATGGGAAAACAGTGCCATTGTGCAGAGTCATCTTATGCTGCCTGGGAAGCCAGTTTCCCCTTTTGAACACCACCATTGATGGCCACATTCAGAGGAAGTGAGCCACTTTTGAGATGTCAGCTGGTGGGGGGGGGTAATGTTTCAGAAAGATGAAAGAACTCCACTGTTTTGAACCTCTTCTTTTTCTACTAACATCCCACTGTTTCCCAGGAAGATTGCAATTCGACCTTCTGCCTTTCTGCTGGGCCATGAGACCAAGCAGACCCTCTGTGGACTTGTTGTCTGTACAGCAGATTCCCTGGAGATTAGCCGTAATGAATATATGAATAGATCCGGGGTGGGGGTGCAAGGATGGCTCAAGATATTGGGGTGTCCAAGACATACCGCTCAGATGGTGCCTCCAGTGATGGAATGACCCCGTGACCATTCCCTCATCCTGCAGCTCTTCAGCCCAGGTGGGACAGCCAAGGGACGTTGTTGGAGTGCCCCTTTGACTGCCAGGAAACCACTTTACCTAAGGGTCTGTTCAAGTTCAAGTTTCATGTGCGATTAAGCATCCTGGCTGACACAGGAGCGGAGCTGACATAAGCTGACATAAGCCCCAAGCATCTCCCAGGACGTCGTTGTGTTGGCAATTTCATGTTCCATCTGGGTGCTTTCGTCTACTGAGGGTTGAGCACGCTCTGTAGTTGTGGAATATTGACCATCAGCTGGGAAAGAGAGATGGATCGACCAGAATGCCCCATGTGAGCCTTTGAGCAGAAGCAGAAGGAGCGCTTCTGCTGAGAGGCCCAGATTCACTGTCGCATTTTGTTGCAGATTCTAGTAGTAAGACATAGCTGAGAATGTGCATTCCAGACCAAACCTGTCCCACCCTCCCTAATGTCAGGACAATCCCTGTAGTTATTAGAATGAATGACTAAACCAGTTGCTGGAGGACAAAGAACAGTGAGGGAATTCTGTTACTTTCCATGATTACTAAATATAGATCCTGCTTTCTGATCTTGCCTGTCGTTGTTTTTTCTTCCTTCTCCTTGAGGAAATAACAGTATCGTGCAGAAACCTGTGACCTCCCCACAAAATGACCTAATTTTGGGGATGTCATTTTGGGGACTTTGGATCTAGTTGGTTACAGTCAGCAGTGTGGTTAGATGACCTCAGAGCCCAGCTGAAGGCTACCCTCCCCCAGTAAAATCTATTTTGCGCCATAGCAGCTAAGTATTTATTCCCATATTGCTGATAATTTGTGCTTTTCAAAAGTAAACCAAAACATGAATCAAACAATATTCTTACCATCCTGGTCTGGGACTGTTGGGGAAACAATTCTGGATAAGCCCATATTCCTTCTGAAGACTTAGGGGTGTTTCTGAACCCAGCTTTGCTCTTGGAGGTTCAGGCAACAGTAGTAGTCAGGAGTGCCTTGCCCAGCTGTACCACTTCCTGAGGAATGTGATCCCAGTGATCTGGGGTCTAAATTTCTCCCGCAGGTAAGCTCCACGGCACTCTGCATGGGGCTGCTCTTGACACTGGGGCTGTGACACTCCAGCACAAGACTGGGCAGAAAATGTATCTCCAGATACTTTGGGCTTCCACTCCCAACATCCCTGTCATGATGGCAGGGGCTTCTGGAAGTTGAGGTCCCAGTCATCTTCACCCACCCTTGTCCTAGCAGGTGCTTTATAGACATACAATGCCAATTTTGTACTGATCACACTGGCTTCACTAAAATGTCCCAAGCTCAGTTCAAGGAGCTTGTTCCAGCCCTAAATGGTTTGAGTCCAAGATATCTGAAGGAGTGCCTACTTTCACATAAGCTTGCCCAAAATGTATGGTCTTCATTGAAAGCTGTATTATATCTCCCACCTCCAAGAGAGGCCAGGGTGGTGAGAATATAAGACAAATGCTTTTAGTTAATACAAATTCCCAGATGCCCTTTAGTTAATGCTCTACTTTGTCCAGGGAGCTCAGTAAAAGGGAGCTCACAGGGGAAACAGAGCCCTGAGGGCATCGTGCTCAAATTCCCCCACAAAACCTGCCTGTCTTGCCAGCATGTTTAATCAAAAATCGATCTGCGTTCAGAGCTGTTTATTGACTGCAGTGCCACCAAATCATAATCCAATGACTAAAGTTTTCTGCTAGCAAACATATGAATAAATGTTTACTCTGTTCAACACAAGCAGCCCAAAGCTTATCCCATAATAGTCCAGTAGAATTTGTCATGGGGCTGTCCTCTCTGAGAATGCAGTGATAGCTACCTGTACTTCAAGGGCAAACACATCTTTTCTGTCATTTAAGAGGTCATTCATTTCTACTGCAGCTTCCCTTGATTTCCTGAAGCCTGGAATCACAAGCTGAACTATATGAAACTGGGGAAGATCTGCACTAGAGCCCTTCCATTTATGAAGGAACCCAATCACCATACTTCTGCAAAATATCAGCACAAGCGAACAGATGCAGCACGGTTTCTGTTGTTTCATGAAAGTGAACTTGAAATTGTAAATGCACTTGCTGGAAAAGTTGGAGGGGTTGGAAAGAGGACATTTGCAGGGGAATGGCCCTTTAGAGGGAGAGGGAGGGAAAGAGAGAGAGAGAGACAGAGAATGCTTAATTAGCTATGTGCAAGATGTAAGCTGCCCAGAGAGCCTATGGCTAGTGGAGTGGCATATAAATCAAATAAATAAATCACATAAGTAAGAGCAAAGGATTGGAGACCTTTTTTAATAGAGAAAAGCAACATTGGCAGCTCCTCTTGTTCCCTCACAATAAGCCACAGAGAAGGAGCAGAGCTAGTCCTACTTTCTGCTTCCTCCCGGTGGGCTCAGCACCCCATTGCCCTCCACCCAAAAGCAAGTCCCAGAAAGCAAGTGCAGCCTCTCTCCTGGACAAACTTTCCCATGAGCTAATGCCATTGAGGGCCATGCAATTCACTTGTGAGTAAGGCCAGTCAAGTTAGTTGACATGCATTTGGAGGCCTGAAAAGACACTGAGAACTTTATTTTTTCAAAGAGGAAGGGAGGTGGGGGGGGGGGGCATTGCATCTGTTCTCCAGTTCACTGTCAGAGAGAGAGAGAGAGCGTGAGGGTGGGCAGGGGAGGTAAGGGAAGCAGAAAAGATCTTCTTCCCCAGGCCTTGTCCCCACCAACTCCAGCCCACTAAAGCCAATCCTCCTACCCCAGGAATGGGACTGGAAGTTTAGTACATGGTAATAAGATATATCAGGGAAAAACCGCAGCCTGTTAAAAAATTGTGAGGCAAGTTGGCTGACAAGATCCATGCCAACATAGCAGACATGGAATGAGAAGGATGGCTTGGGTGGAGCATTCTGCAACACACCGAGGAGTCAGGCATTACAGTGCCAGTAAAAATGCGTAGTGTCAGTACCTCTGGGGAAATGAGCCAAGCCTCTAGTTCCCATGTTTCCTACTTTGAATGCTGTTTAGAACCTAACCTAAAGCATGCATTCTTTCTGCCCAAAAATAAAAAGGGAAAGTTACATTATAATTTCCTAAGATGCAATCCTACCCATTTTCCGGCAGAGGAGAATGCCCACAACTCCCAGCATGCCTGTGCCCTGGCAGAAACGAGTAAGGCTTCCATGCATGAACCATGAAGCTCAGAGGCGCACACTCCCACAGTTCTGAAAAAACCCTTCCTACTGGCCCTTCCTGGTTCCGCTTTTCACCACAGGAGCATAGACACAAGACTCCTGGGCTGTGACAGGAATGGCTGCAGGCTTGGCTTTCAGCGGCTGGTGGTTCAATTCAGCATAGGCGATGTCATCTGCGTCCTTTCCAGCATAAGTTTCTAGGGACTAGAGAAGAAAAAGAAAGGTTGAAGATACAATGTGTGGCAGGACTTTCATCTCCCTAAATGTACATATGATCATGGCCTTCGGAGGCAGCCCTGCTATTCCTTCTTCTGGAGCCATCAAAATGACAGGAGGTGGTCTATTGGCAGTTTCACACAGCAGGAGGAGATGTCCACAGACTCCCTGAAATATGGGCTCTTTGTCCCCAGCCTCACTTAAAATCTCCTCCTCCTCCTCCTCCTCCTCCTCAAACACATAGAAGTTGTCAGGGAGGACCAAACACACTCGTGTGCTCTGACAGCCATCTAAAGGAGCACAGTCTTGTTGTAGACAGATTTTCATTGCAAGTACCATTGGTATGCACGCATAGGCTTCCCCAGGACTAGAGCTAAGACCCTACCAGTGTCTATGGAACATTTTACATGTTGTAAACCATTCAGAAAGTCCACGAGCTGTGAACAACTTGTTTTTTTTTTTAATGTGGTTTTCACCAGAGGTCCAGTCTGTATGGTTGCTGTTCCCCACTATCCCTCTATCTCCATGGGGATTTTTCTAGATTGAAAATCCAGATAGAAATCAAATGAATAAATGAAGTGATACTTAAGTGCTGTGATTCTCTAGCTAGCAGTTGTATCTGAGGACAGAATGTTGACAAGAAGGTCATGGCCATGACAAGGGTGATGAGAAAGCCCGGATGGGAATATCTCTTACCATGCTGGCTGGCCGGTCTTCTTTCTTGGCCAAGGACCCTGCAGACCAGAGAAAGCCTTGAGATTCTGTGGCTGATCTGTCTGTGATCAAACATGCATGCACCGGGCCCTCCAAATGTGTCCCACACCCTAGGAGCTTTATTTTGACGCAGGAGGGTTCTTGCTTCACATCTGTTGACCTTGATATAGTCCACACTAGGGAAATTCTACACCAAGAAAATCCCACGAGTGTTTGGAACATCTGGTTTTAAAATAGATAAGCGGGAGCTCAGCTTCTAGGTAGCATGTATCCAGTCAGAAAATTGGGCTTTCATTTTTCCAGGTGTAATTCAGAGTGGTGCATTTTGCTGGCCAAGTCCTAAATGGTGGGTACCTGATGCAGTGATGGGCAATCATCCAGCTGAAAGCCCAATGTGCATTTGGGTCTGGCTCACAGCCTGTTCTCCTTGTCCACTGCCACCACTTCCTGGTCTGCTAGGCTGACAAATTAAGCTCCTATATCCCTGTGTGTGACCTTGAGTCCAAAGCGTAATTGATATGGAATGGGAGGGGGGCAGACACTGGTACCACCAACAGTAGGCTGCTCTTGGGAGAGTAGGAACGTTTGCCTTTAACATCTTCCACCTCCTTGAATTAAGCCCCATTTGAGCAACCCGTGGCCTTCCAGTTTTGCACTGGCCTACCCCCATCAACCCTAGCCAGAATAGCCAAGGACACGGTGAGAGATGATCGGAGTTGGAGGCCCAAGTTTTCCCAGGGCCACAAGTGGCCCAACCCAGTTTTCATAATCCTGCTGGGCACTGAGGAGGTTTTAGGAGCCACAAAAGCCCAGCCTCTGACCAAAAGAAGGCTTTTTCAAGCTTTTGCTATTTCAGTAGACGTTTCCTACAAACATGTAAGCCACATTTGGAAACAAGGACTAGAAAAATATATCATCCTAAGAAAGAGACCCACTCTCTCTAGCATGGTTGAACATTGAACAAATAGTTTAAGGAAGTTTTCGAGCACTTATCTGTGAAACTTGAGGCAAGTACCACGATCAGGAGTTAGGATATTTATCTACCGCCCTACAACATTATTCTCAGCTACAATGAAAGTATTCATCCACATGTTCTCTTACTCTTTTTCCTTCTTCTGTACAATACAAAGACAAACAGTAAGAGAAATCCCAGAAGAAGAAGCCCTGCAGCACTGCATGCCCAAATGATGATCATGAATTTGGCTGTAAAAACATGGAAAGCATGAATTAGAGTGCGGTGCCTACAGGAACCAGAACATTAATCCCTCCTTCCTTGCACTGCCTTCCAGCAACTCCCCATGGTTTCAAATTGGTGTTTTCTCTGCCTTTCCTGGAGTCACTATGGATTCAGCCTGGGATACATTCCCTGCAAAGGGGGTGTCCTTCCCCATCACCCACTGACAGAACCTCACAGCTACAGATGCCATGGACACAAAATACACACCCAGCTTAAGCCTTCCTCCATTTCAGCTTGAGCCTTCCCTCCCTGCCTTGTGAGATCCCTTGCACCCATGCCCGTGCCGATCAGCTAGGGAAGGGGAGACGCACAATTTAGGTTGCACTGTGGACACTTCACCAAGCAGCTGCATCACAGCCAGTTGTGAGCCTGACTGTGGTGAGGAAGAGGGCAAGTGAGGAGAGTCCTCCGTACCCACATGCTTCCCCAGCACAATCTCCGCAGCCACAAGACGGGGGAGTGGGGAGCAGCGCCAGTGCTGGCTGTGGGGGTCCCCCGTGGCACGCAGCGCGCTCTTCTCAAGGGCTTTGGCGGCACCTCCACTGCTCCCAGGCAGCAACTGACTTGATGTTCCACCTTTCCTTAGCCTAATGTTCTCAAGATGCATTGGACTACAGTTCCCATCCTTCTCAGCCAGCATGGCCAAGGACCATGATGGTTGGGCATAACAGGAGCTGTGTTCCGATCCGGAGAGCACCAGGTTGGGGAAGACTGTGATTTTCAGTCTGACTCTTTGCCCAGTTGATATACAGCATGGCAACCCACACACCTTCCCCCCTTCCTACCTTTTCTTTGCTGGTCGTCTTCAGTGTGTCCCCCATCTTCCCTCTTAGCTGCACAGAAACAGGAGATGGAGGCATCAGTCCTTCCGCTGGCTTCCCAGACTCTGATTTTGTCATAGCTTTCCACCACTCGAAGGCCTTGGCTCTTCAAGCTCCTCGTATAACTGGCCCCACCAAGCAGCTTTTCACGTGCACTTAATCCCAAGCCAGGTGGGGTTGTGCTACGAAAAATGGATCCCACATTGCTCTGGCTGGCAAAGCTCCCTCCTTTGTCACCCCTGACCTCCACCTCTGTCCCGTGCCTCAGAAACCCGCTCTCCCTCATTATAACTTCCAACTAGTTCATTCACCCTAACCCTTTGCCCACATTATTTCTCAACTGTTCCCTGCAAAAAAGGTTCTTTCCATTCATTCCCTAATATTATTATTATCACTACTGGTACTGTTTACTATGCTACCATTATATCCCCCCCACCATTTTCCCCATGCAAGGAACCCAGGGTGCCTTTTGTGAACTCCCCCATCTTAATTTTTTTCCTCATAGCAACAACCTTGTAAGGAGGTAAGGCTGAAAGTCAGTAACTGGCCCCGATAGTTTGTTGTACATGGCCCAGAGAGCTATGGTGCTGGGTGTATAGAGATAAAATAAAAAAAGATTCAGCCAATCAGCTTCATGACTGACTGGAACTCCATAGCCCCAAATCCATACTCTACCCTCAACACCACACTGGCTGTCCATAAAAATCAGTGCAGTGTGCAGTGGTGGCAGGATCAAATGGGAGTTGTAGTGCAAAACATCATTTCCATCATCATGCTTTTTACTATGTTTAGTTTCTCATCCTTTTAACTGAAATGCCATGGTAAATGTGTGAAGCATATCATATTTGTGATGTCCATCCTGCTTACCATGGAGGAGGCCTACGTGGTTTCAGACTTTCCTCACAAGCACCTCCACTAGAGGTTCCAGAGCTGATCTGTATACGTGGGGGCTGGTGCCACCGATGACAGTGGGGCCCCTTCTCCATTGCACCTTTCTTTGGAGCTTTATGAGAGCTATCCGTGGGGCTGAATGCCATCCCCAAAAGAGGCTCCCCATGATGGAGCTCCATGCTTAGCTCCAATGAAGCCAAAACAAGAAGCTGCAATGGATGATAAGCCCCGCTGATGGATGGAGGAGTCACCAGCCTCCTCTCCATATAGCTAAGCAAAACATTCAGCCAAATTTCAGTTCTAGTAATTGCTGGTAGAACGTGAGAAAAGACATGGACTTTGGTGCCTCACCTCTAAAATCCAACTCCACAGGGCTGCTTGGCTCTGACCAGACAAAGGAATTGCTTGTGTGGTGATACTGGCAGGTGTAGCTTGCTGCGTCCTTCAGGCTCAGCATCCAGAGAAGGAACTCGGCTGTGTCTCTTCTTGCTTCTGCTGCCTGAAATGCTATCTGGCTGCCCGATTTCAGAAGGGCAAAGGCCAGTCCTTCTTCCGGCCCCTGGCACTTTAGGGTGACGTTCCCACCGGGACTGTTCTGTCCACTTGATGTCATTATCAATGAGGGTTTGTCCAGGTCAGGATCTAGGAAAGGAAGGATTCAATGAAGCCTTATTTTGTCTTCTTTATAAGCCACATCTCAGCGGGAGAGGCCCTTCTCCGGGAACCCTCCATGAAGGATATTAGGAGGGTAAGAACTCGGAGGAGGGCTTTCTCTGCGGTGGCGCCCAATCTATGGAAGGCGCTCCCCAGAAAGGTCCGCCTGGCGCTGTGATTTGTTTTTTGGCGCCAGGCGAAGACCTTTTTTTTTAAATGTCATTTTAATTGCTAATATTATTTATTTATTTTACATCTTCGACCAGGTCATCTCAAATTATATTGTTTTTATATTGTTATTATTTATTTACTGTTGTGAGCCGCCCCGAGGCTTCGGTGAATGGGGCGGCATAGAAGCTTCATAAACAAACAAACAAACTCTTGCTGGATTCAGTCTTCAGTTACTTTTCCCTTGCTCCTTGTTCCTATGCTTTGGCAATGGAAGACTCTCCATATGCCCTCTGCCATTCCCAAGTATACGAGGACATGTAGAAATACCACATTGTTTGCTTCTCAGTCTCAAATGAATGGCATAGTAAATTCTCAGACTGGAATGTGACCTACTATACGAAGCTTCTACTTGATGATACATATAGATTGATTTGTTTATCTTGGAAATACATAAGGATAGAAGTCTCTAGAGAACCCCTCTGAAATTAGAAGAGCAAAGGAGAGGGCAACCCTCACACTGGTTGTTTGAGCAGTACTTTATTCCATGAAAAATGCAGAATATCTTTTGGTCAAGAGAGTAGGGTCAGTAAAATGCAACATACTGAGATGACATACATCTTGCTGTCCTCGTTTTTTCAATCCTTTTGGATTTCTGGCCACAGAGCCACCATTTAATTCAAATGTATCATAGAACGACAGTGTAAACCCAGCTGATCCCTGCCGTGAACTAGTGAATTACCTCTTAAATCTCACAGTTCACAGTTAAATAAATGGAAAGGAGGAGAGAAAAGAAATGCCATGTTTCAATCTAGATGCATCACTTGTGGATCTGCTAATGAAATTCATATGCAACATGAAGGGGACTAATCCATGCCGCAACGTAAGTACAACGTGGCACAGGATTCACTCACACAGAAAATGCACAACTCTTGCATGGTCTTTTGTGGAGATTACATGGAAGGAGAGAACCAGGGCCTCACCTGTGATGTTGACATAGGCTGCCTCACTGAAATCGGAGCAGCTGGAGGGACCACAGGTACAATATCTACACCAGTAGATCCCCGCATTAGATTGCCTGACATTGGCAATCAAAAATGGTTCTTCAAAATGTTTTTCCTCCTTGATGTCTACAGTCTTCTGATTTGTATACTCAGCTCTGGTAAGATAGAGGCATCCACCTAAATTCTCCTTCACCTTACAGTGGATGGAAACATTTTCCCCTGGAGCAACCACCCTACTGGGAGTCACAGAGATGGAAGGGACAGGAAGATCAGCATGTTGCCCTGCATGAGAAGGAGATGAGCATGAGTGAGATCAGGCAAGAAGAGCATCTGCAAAGATTAACGGGGAGTGCTTCCAAACATGGTTTTTAGCACACAAAATGCCTGATTTTACATAAAATGTACAAGACATGTTTTCCACAGAGAGAGAGCTTGCTGTCATTTTTCAATGTCCTCTTCTTTTGAATCTCAGACTTGTTCAGTTACATGATGCTGGGTGTTTGCTGCTCAGCAAACACAGAAATCCACTCCATTGTGCTCTCCAAGATCAAAAGCCCCTGCACAGGGAGGCTTCCATTCGTCCAGTGCAGTTGGGAAGAGCAGCAGAGGCAACCTTCCACTCGCTTTGCTTCCCCTCCGTTTTTTCCCACATCAGACACTATGCCCATCTAGCGAAGCACTTGAGCAGGCAAGCAAGGAAGGAGGCTGAAAGGGCTTCAGGAGAGTTCTTCTCCAGGTCTCCCCAGACTCCTCCCTCTGTGTCCACTGGAACGCAACTTTTCTTCCTTTCCACGCTCAATGTTCTGACCATGTAGGTCAGCAGGCACAACTCTTTGTGCCTCAGCAGCATGGCTGGGAGCTCAGGTCACCAACCCCTCCTCCCCCATTGGAGCACCATCTCTGACCTAGTGGGAAGAATCCGCCCATCCTGTGGTCCATAGACAATCCCCCAAGAGTGCCACATTTACGCTATTGCAACATCTCTGAGACATTAGCTGCAGGGGGGTCCTGGTCGGCTGCTGCCTTGCAAAAGGCACCAATTATACCATAGCTCAGCTTTAAAGACTCTCACAGTGGGGGCAGGAGGAAGCAGTCCCCCAAACCGCCTAGTTGGTCCATTTGGGAAGGGCCAAACCTCATTGAGTCGAGCACATATTTTGGTGGGGAAGATCCCTAGTTCATAAAAAGTCCAGCTTCTTACGTACAAGGGTGGGAGACCACACCTTTCTCAGCAGGGGCCCCCATCCATTGCAGTTTTCTATTTCAGCTGCATAGAGTCTATCCACGATGCCAAACTCTATCTGAAAATAAGTACACCACCATGGAGCACCATGGATAATTCTTATAAATCCAGAACAGAAAGCTGCAGTGGATGAGGTGCTCCATGGACATAGGAGTGACCAGCTTCTCCTGTCCAAATTCAATGGGCTTTTAAGGACTACAACCCCTATCCAAAAGTCAACTGGTTCTCACACATACAAGCACAATGGCCGCCCAATGCCAGCAAACAGAACGACTGGCAATAAGGGGAGGTCCGTGAAGACCTTAGCTAATTCTGGCAGGTACACTCCTCCATGGATCCCATGCATACCAATAGATTTCTGTCACTGTTGGTGAAGGAAGCTGTTTGTCTCCACCAGTATCCAACATGTATATTTGAAAATAATTGCCAATAATTAAAAAACACCCCTTTCTGCTTGGTTAAACAGGGACCGTATACAAACCGTAATACTCACCCATAGTTGTCCACCACTGCCTGGTCAGCCACCATCCTGGAAAGAAGGTGAATCCGTAATTGGCACGATAACTGAGCAACAGGAATAAATACTAACCGTGGGACCCTCTGACTTTGCCATGGAATCCTTCTCATCCCACCACCAGTCCGTAAGGAATTCTTACCAAGAAAGAGGATTTTGGAAGGCAATCTCATGTTGAGGGGCTGCTCAACTCGGCCGTCTGCACTCGGTTTTGAAGTTCGGATATTCCACAGGTGAAGATCTCCACTGGGGCTCACAGCTTCTGCGGTACAACAGGGATTGGTCTTCCAGTTCCTTCTCAACTGTGCCAAATATTGCTGTGGTCTCACAGCACTCTGGCCCAAAGTCAGCACAGCATGTCGTGTGACAAACCACATCCTTTATTGAGCTGGGCGCATGCACACCCACACAGAAAGAAATGGAGACAGGGAACAGCACTTTGAAGTGCATCGGAGTTTAAATTAGATCCTGAGTTCTCCAGGGTCCCTTCAAAGAGGGAAAGCAGCGTCAGGAACGTAATTGGGGCCAAGAAGATCAAGAGGTTAGGGACCTCAAAGCCAGAGAGTATGTGGACACTTGACACCTGTGCTGTCAAAGCCTTTAGCTGCAGTGGACAGTAAACTGAGGAAAGCCCGTCCAGTTTGGCTCACCATGTTCAGCTTCTGATGCTGCTCCTTGAACTGCTCTTGGCATTACAGAGAAGTGTAATGAAAACTACATTGCCAAGTGAGGCACTTTCGAACTCAAAACTGAACTAGCTGCCCCTCTGAGAGGCAAATAGGTAACCCCTAAACTAAACAAAACTTTGAAACAGGCCAAATAAAGCTGCAAAAGCTCTCACCTGACCTGGGATGCTGCTCTCAGTCTCAGGACTGGGCTGTCCTTCTGCCCCAGTAACTCTTGTCTGTGGCACCGTCCAGCTCTTCTACTAAGTGTGTTTGCGTACTGCAAATGCAGAGGCATTACTACTTCTCATTTACGGCAAAGGGGAACATCTTACTGAAAGAGGAACTGTGCCCCAGCTTGAGAGCTGGTCTTGCTGTTCTTCTTCAGGAAATGAAGCAGAAACGGACACATCAGTCGGGTTTGCATGACACAGTTGTTTACATCATTCCTCTCTCACACACACACATACATACAGACACGCACGTGCATGTATAAAAACACACACACACACACACTTTTTCCCCCATTGTAGTCCAATGTATCTCAAGGTTGCAAGGTTGGGGCAGAGGAAACGGTGAGGGCTGCAGGCAGTTCAGCTGACGGACCCAAAGCTGCAGAGAAGGGTGGCCCAGCAGGCTCCTGGCCTTCACAACACACATTGCGGGCTGGCCTTGAGGGATTGCATGCTGCTGCTGCTCTCTGTTCCTGGCCAGTCCTCGGGAATTTTCTCAAGTAGCAACGGGAGAAGCAGCCCCATCTGAACTTACCCAAGTGCTCCTTTTTCCATCTTGATGCCTGTCTTGTCATGCCCTCAACCAGTTTGGCAGCCTTTCCCAACCTTGGGAGGCCAGCTGTGCTTGACTGAATTTCATTTGCCCTCTTTTTGGCACAAGTTAAGACCGCCCTCTTCCGCGAGGCCTTCCTTGGCCACCCCGGAGCCTGAGGGGGTATTCTGCAGACATTGTTTGCCATTGTCTCTAGTAGGTGTTTTTAACCTTTTAATGTTTTTTCTGGTTTTCTGACAATTCCATTTTCAAGAGTAATCATAGAACAGTGGTGGCGAACCGATGGCACGATATTATCCCTAAGTGTTGAATGTGCATATTTATGAGAATTCTAAAAAGCATAGACAGACACGCTAAAGAAACTTTTAAACTTCTCCTGCAAGAAACTGAATGGTGAGCTAAAATCCAAGGTGTTTTTATTGTATGTATCATCTATTGGAAAAAGAAAGACTGAGATCAATTGAATGGTATTGAAATGTTATAGTTCAAAGAACTATAAAAAGGGGGGGCAGTTGTGGGGCAAGAAAAGCAAGTGAGTAAGAGAACTGCAAAGGTGAAGCAAAAAAACTTATAAGATTTGGAGAAGTGTGGATGTGTAGGCAAGAAAGTTTTAGAAGATTTCCCATATCAGGTATCACTTCCTGAGATAAGAGGGCAAGAAGGACATATAGGAAGTTTCAGTTTGATTATAATATGTAGCTATACCTTTGCATAAATTAGGATCAAATGTATATGTCTGTGATGAATTAAAGTGCACTCATGGTATAGGATATTAAAAGTATAAATTCTTTGTTCAAGTGTTTGTTCAGGGAATCCTGCTCTTTTTCTTAGCAGATTACTTGCTCTGTGGAACAATAATAAATCTTGCTGCATAAGCAGTTAATTGCTTTATTGACTTCCAAGAACACTCCTATATTTTGGATATGGAGTGTCTTTAACTTCTTGATATTTCCTTCTCTTTCTCTTGGCAGGTAAGGCTGCCAGTAGGACTTTAATTCCAATCTTATCAATTAACTTCTCCCACAGTAGCGTACCCAAGCTTGTAAGGCTCCTTCGTTGGTCCTGAGGATGAGACACGGGTCTTGAAGCAGCCTATGACTCTGGGTTAACGATCAGCAAAATAAAAATTTATTTGTCCAAGGAGATTATTGGTTTCAAGATGTTCAGTAAATGATTCCCTTAGTGAACCGAACAATGTATAATAGCAACTTCTGACTGAACTATATCACTCTTTCCCTGCACAAAAACTCCACACACACAGATCCTCCATTCTCTCCTGCACTCAGGTTTCTGTCAGCTTCAGGCTCCCACATCCTTATAAGACGCGACTTATCCGTGAAACTTGAGGCAAGTACCCTTTTCAGTAGTTAGGATATCTATCTACTGCCCTATAACAATATTCTCAGCTGTGACAAAAGCTTTCACCCAGACCTTCCCCGACTCTTCCTCCTCCTTCAGCACAGTACAAAAGTTTTGACTCTCCCTCGGCACTAACATGGCCTCAGAATATCCCACCTCCTTCCCTTCCCTTCGGAATCCTATACGGCTTTTCCACAGCACTACGCAGGATTCTAAGGTGAAAGCTGCCTCTTCCGTTCCGCAGAGCTCTGACCTATTTCCTTTAGCTGCAGACAGATCACAGCTGCAACTGACAGGCCGGTAACATTTCCCAGGCTCCTCTCAAGCGTCCAAGGCCCGCCCAGGCACTCCCTGGCACCAGCCAATCACCTCCCTTACTCATCAGCCTCTTGCCCTTCTAAACTTAGCAAAATTTAAAGGAACTGTCACACACGATGCTTTAAATCATTACACGGGTCAACGATTCAAAGAACTGCTTGCAAAATCTCTCCCCTTTTCTTGTGAAGTGAGTATGAGACTTTTGTAATTTCCCTGGCATTTTCCGCACAAGAAAGCCTTATTAGGACTAGAAAAATATATCATCCTAGAAAAGAGACCCTCATTCTCTGACAAGGCTGAACACTGAATAAACAGCTATACGAAAGTTTTCGAGCACCTATCTGTGAAACTTGAGTCAAGTACCTTTTGCAGTAGCTAGGACATTTATCTACTGCCCTATAACAATATTCTCAGCTGCAAAAATAAAAATAAGTCAGTAAGTAAAACCGGGTGAATAAGAACATTCACCCAGAGATTGTCTAATTCTTTCTCCTTTTTCTGTACAATACAAAGGCAAACAGTAGGAGGAATCCCAGAAGAAGCAACTTTATGGCACTGCATGCCCAAATGATGATCATTGATCCATCTGTAAAAAAGTGGAAAGCATGAATTAGAGCAGGGGTCCTCCAACTTCTTCACCTGGGGGCCAGTTGAAAGGTGCCAGTGCTGGGTGCGGGCCGGAAAGGTGGTGCTGGCAGTGCGTGCAGGCCGGGCCGGGGGCAGTGCGCATGGGCACGGTGAGGTTCAGGTGGCGAGGCGAGGCGAGGCAGGGGTGGGCACGTGGCACGAGGCAGCGGCTTGCTCGCTTGAAGATGGTTTTCTCTGAGCGAGTCCAAAACGATCTCCGCGCGAGCAAGCCGCCTCCCCACACATGGGGCGAGACAGGTGGTGTTGGGTGTGGCAAGTCCAAAACCTCCGAGGCAGCCTGGATAAATGAGCAAGGCAGGTCGGATCCGGCCCACGGGCCATAGTTTGAGGACCCGTGAATTAGAGTGTGGCGTCTACAGGAACCCCGGCGAGTGTTTGGTGTGAGGCCGGAACATTCATCCCTCCTTCCCTGCACTGCCTTGCAGCAGCTCCCCATGGTTTCAAGTGGGTGCCTTTGCCTGGCCTGGCGTCACTATGGATCCAGCCTGGGACACATTCCCTGCAAAGGGGGTGTCCTTCCCCATCACCCACTGACAGAACCTCACAGCCACAGATGTCATCAACACAACACACACGGCAAGCTTAAGCCTTCCTCCATCTCAGCTTGAGCCTTCCCTCCCTGCCTTGTGAGATCCCTTGCGCCCATGCCCGTGCCGATCAGCTAGGGAAGGGGAGACGCACAATTTAGGTTGCACTGTGGACACTTCACCAAGCAGCTGCATCACAGCCAGTTGTGAGCCTGACTGTGGTGAGGAAGAGGGCAAGTGAGGAGAGTCCTCCGTACCCACATGCTTCCCCAGCACAATCTCCGCAGCCACAAGACGGGGAAGTGGGGAGCAGCGCCAGTGCTGGCTGTGGGGGTCCCCCGTGGCACGCAGCGCGCTCTTCTCAAGGGCTTCGGCGGCGCCTCCACTGCTCCCAGGCAGCAACTGACTTGATGTTCCACCCTTCCTTATCCTAATATTCTCAAGATGCATTGGACTACAGTTCCCATCCTTCTCAGCCAGCATGGCCAAGGACCATGATGGTTGGGCATAACAGGAGCTGTGTTCCGATCCGGAGAGCACCAGGTTGGGGAAGACTGTGATTTTCAGTCTGACTCGTTGCCCAGTTGATATACAGCATGGCAACCCACACACCTTCCCCCCTTCCTACCTTTTCTTTGCTGGTCGTCTTCAGTGTGTCCCCCATCTTCCCACTTAGCTGCATAGAAACAGGAGATGGAGGCATCAGTCCTTCTGCTGGCTTCCCAGACTCTGATTTTGTCACAGCTTTCCACCACTCGAAGGCCTTGGCTCTTCAAGCTCCTCGTACAGCTGGCCCCACCAAGCGGCTTTTCACGTGCACTTAATCCCAAGCCAGGTGGGGCTGTGCTACGAAAAATGGATCCCACATTGCTCTGGCTGGCAAAGCTCCCTCCTTTGTCTCCCTGGCCGCCACCTCTGTCACGTGCCTCACAAACCCGCTCTCCCTCATTATAACTTCCAACTAGTTCATTCACCCTAACCCTTTGCCCACATTATTTCTCAACTGTTCCCTGCAAAAAAAGCTTCTTTCCATCCATTTCCTAATACAGTGGTACCTTGGCTCACAAACTTAATCTGTGCCAGGACTCTGGTCGTGACCCAAATTGGTCGTGAGCCAAGACAAATTCCCCCATAAGATTCAATGTAAATATGGTTAACCCATTCTGACCCCTACAAGCTTGGCTGTGAGCCGATTTTGGTCATGAGCCAAGTCAAATTTTCCCATAAGGTTCAATGTAAATAAGGATAATCTGTACTGGAACTATTTTTTTAAATCATGAAAATTTGAAACAAAGTGACAAAGAACAACAAAGTAACAAAGTACAGTACAGTAGAGAACACTAACCTAGGTTTTGGGGAGGTTATTGTTTGGATGACGAGTCCAAAGCATAATCATGTGATAGCACTCGTCCTGGGGGTGGGGGGGGGGGAGTAGCCTTGATCGTGATCTTGCTGGGGAGGGGAGACGGGTGCGCTCAGGCGGGAGACGTGCGCGGTGGTGGGAGCAGTGAGGGGGGAGCCAGGCGCGATGGCGGGCACGCTCGTGCAGGGCAATGATCGCAATCGCAGCCACCCCCCCAAGGCAAGCATGCCTGCAATCGTGCCTATCTTCCTTGCATGAGTGTGACCACAATCGCGGCCATCTCCGCACACCCCCTGAGCAAGATCGTGCAGGGAAGACAGGTGCAATCGCGATTGTCACCCAACGAGGAGTTGGTAACCTGAGTCTGAAATTTTTTTCTGAAATTTCTTTTTGCGACCTGATTTCATCATGAACTGAGGTATTCGTGAGCCGAGGTACCACTGTATGTGTGGGCTGGTGCCACCCACGACAGTGGGGCCTCTTGTCCATTGCAGGTTTCTTTGGAGTCTTATAAGAGCTATCCGTGGGCCTGAACTCCATCTCCAAAAGAGGCTCCCCATGATGGAGCTCCATGTTTAGCTCCAATGAAGCCAAAATGAGAAGCTGCAATGGATGACAAGCCCCACTGACAGAAATTGCTGGCAGAAAATGAGGAAAGACATGGATGAGCTTTGGTGCCTCACCTCTAAAATCCAACTTCACAGGGTTGCTTGGCTCTGACCAGACAAAGGAATTGCTTGTGTGGTGATACTGGCAGGTGTAGCTTGCTGCGTCCTTCAGGCTCGGCATCCAGAGAAGGAACTCGGCTGTGTCTCTCCCTGCTTCTGCTGCCTGAAATGCTATCTGGCTGCCCGATTTCAGAAGGGCAAAGGCCAGTCCTTCTTGTGGCCCCTGGCACTTTAGGGTGACGTTCCCACCGGGACTGTTCTGCCCACTTGATGTCATTATCAATGAGGGTTTGTCCAGGCCAGGATCTAGGGAAGGAAGAATTCAGTGAAGCCTTATTTTGTCTATATAAGCCACATCTGTTGCTGGATGTAGTCTCCAGTTACTTCTCCCTTGCTCTCTGTTCCTCTACTTCAGCAATGCCCCCTGCCATTCCCAACTATATGAGGACATGTAGAAATACCGCATTGTTTGCTTCTCAGTCCCAAATGAATGGCATAGTAAATTCTCACACTGGAAAGTGACCTACTAAACAAGCTTCTACTGGATGATACAGATAGATTGATTAGTTTATCTTAGAAATATATAAGGATGGAAGTCCCTTGAGAGCCCCTCTGAAATTAGAAGAGCATAAGGAGAGGGCAACCCTCACACTGGTGTGTTTGAGCAGTACTTTATTCCATGAAAAATGCAGAATATCTTTCAGTCAAGAGAGTAGGGTCAGTAAAATGCAACATACTAAGATGACATACATCTTGCTGTCCTCGTTTTTTCAATCCTTTTGGATTTCTGGCCACAGAGCCACCATTTAATTCAAATGTATCATAGAGCGACAGTGTAAACCCAACTGATCCCTGCCGTGAACTAGTGAATTACCTCTTAAATCTCACAGCTCACAGTTAAATAAATGGAAAGAAGGAGAGAAAAGAAATGCCATGTTTCAGTCGAGATGCATCACTTGTGGATCTGCTAATGAAATTCATATGCAACATGAAGGGGACTAATTCATGCCTCAACATAAGTACAATGCACAGGATTCACTCACATAGAAAATGCACAACTCTTGCATGGTCTTTTGTGGAGATTACATGGAAGGAGAGAACCAGGGCCTCACCTGTGATGTTGACATAGGCTGCCTCACTGAAATCGGAGCAGCTGGAGGGACCACAGGTACAATATCTACACCAGTAGATCCCCGCATTAGATTGCCTGACATTGGCAATCAAAAATGGTTCTTCAAAATGTTTTTCCTCCTTGATTTCTACAATCTTCTGCACTGCATAATGAACTTTGACAAGATAGAGGCATCCACCTAAATTCTCCTTCACCTTACAGTGGATGGAAACATTTTCCCCTGGAGCAACCACCCTACTGGGAGTCACAGAGATGGAAGGGACAGGAAGATCAGCATGTTGCCCTGCATGAGAAGGAGATGAGCATGAGTGAGATCAGGCAAGAGGAGCATCTGCAAAGATTAACGGGGAGTGCTTCCAAACATGGTTTTTATCACACAAAATGCCTGAGTTTACAGAAAATGTACAAGACATGTTTTCCCTCCATTCCCATCCTGAGCATTCCAATGGCTGCTTCTATCATTTTCTTTCCACCAAATAGCAGTTAAGAAGGAAAGATGGAATCACTGCACAATCTCTTTGGTTTAGAAGCATTACAAGCCACCCTCTGAAATTAGGAGAGCAAAGGACGATGCAGGCCTGGAGCCGGTGTGTCTGAACAGAGCTTTACTCCATGAAAAATACAAAATATATTTCAATCAATGGTGGAAGGGTACTAAAATAAATGATGAAACTGCAGTGGGAGATATACCTTGCAGTCATTTTTACAGTTTCCTCTTTTTTGAATCTCAAACTTGTTCAGTTACATGATGCTGGGTGTTTGCTGCTCAGCCAACACAGAAATCCACTCCATTGTGCTCTCCAGAATCAAAAGCCCCTGCACAGGGAGGCTTCCATTCGTCCAGAGCAGTTGGGAAGAGCAGCAGAGGCAAACTTCCACTTGCTTTGCTTCCCCTCCATTTTTCACCACATCAGACACTTTGCTTATGTATCAAGGTGCTTGAGCAGGGAAGCAAGGAAATAGGCTGAAAGAGCTTCGGGAGACTTCTTCTCCTGGTCTCCCCAGACTCCTCCCTCTGTGCCCACTGGAAGGCCCTCTCCACGCTCAGTGTTCTGACCAGGTAGGTCAGCAGGCACAACTCTTTGTGCCTCAGCAGCATGGGTGGGAGCTCAGGTCACCAACTCCTCCTCCCCCGTTGGAGCACCATCTCTGACCTAGTGGGAAGAATCCGCCCATCCTGTGGTCCATAGACAACCCCCCAAGAGTGCCACTTTTACACTGTTGCAACGTTTCTGAGACATTAGCTGCAGGGGCGTCCTGGTTGGCTGCTGCCTTGCAAAAGGCACCAATTATACCATAGCTCAGCTTTAAAGACTCTCACAGTGGGGGCAGGAGGAAGCAGTCCCCCAAACCGCCTAGTTGGTCCATTTGGGAAGGGCCAAACCTCATTGAGTTGAGCACATACTTTGGTGGGGAAGATCCCAAGTTCATAAAAAGGCCAGCTTCTTACGTACAAGGGTGGGAGACCACACCTATCTCAGCAGGGGCCTCCATCCATTGCAGCTTTCTATTTCAGCTGCATAGAGTCTATCCATGATGCCAAACTCTATCTGAAAATAAGTACACCACCATGGAGCACCATGGATAATTCTTATAAATCTGGAACAGAAAGCTGCAGTGGATGAGGTGCCCCATGGACATAGGAGTGACCAGCTTCTCCTGTCCAAATTCAATGGGCTTTTAAGGACTACAACCCCTATCCAAAAGTCAACTGGTTCTCACACATACAAGCACAATGGCCGCCCAATGCCAGCAAACAGAACGACTGGCAATAACACGGAGGTCCATGAAGACCTTAGCTAATACTGGCAGGTACACTCCTCCATGGATTCCATGCATACCAATAGATTTCTGTCACTGTTGGTGAAGGAAGCTGTTTGTCTCCACCAGTATCCAACATGTACATTTGAAAATAATTGCCAATAATTAAAAAATACCCCTTTCTGCTTGGTTAAATAGGGACCGTATGTAAACCGTAATACTCACCCATAGTTGTCCACCACTGCCTGGTCAGCCACCATCCTGGAAAGAAGGTGAATCCGTAATTGGCACGATAACTGAGCAACAGGAATAAATACTAACCGTGGGACCCTCTGACTTTGCCATGGAATCCTTCTCATCCCACCACCAGTCCATAAGGAATTCTTACCAAGAAAGAGGATTTTGGAAGGCAATCTCATGTTGAGGGGCTGCTCAACTCGGCCGTCTGCACTCGGTTTTGAAGTTCGGATATTCCACAGGTGAAGATCTCCACTGGGGCTCACAGCTTCTGCGGTACAACAGGGATTGGTCTTCCAGTTCCTTCTCAACTGTGCCAAATATTGCTGTGGTCTCACAGCACTCTGGCTCAAAGTCAGCACAGCATGTCGTGTGACAAACCACATCCTTTATTGAGCTGGGTGCATGCACACCCACACAGAAAGAAATGGAGACAGGGAACAGCACTTTGAAGTGCATCGGAGTTTAAATTAGATCCTGAGTTCTCCAAGGTCCCTTCAAAGAGGGAAAGCAGCGTCAGGAACGTGATTGGGGCCAAGAAGATCAAGAGGTTAGGGACCTCAAAGCCAGAGAGTATGTGGACACTTGACACCTGTGCTGTCAAAGCCTTTAGCTGCAGTGGGCAGTAAACTGAGGAAAGCCCGTCCAGTTTGGCTCACCATGTTCAGCTTCTGATGCTGCTCCTTGAACTGCTCTTGGCATTACAGAGAAGTGTAATGAAAACTACATTGCCAAGTGAGGCACCATCAGATTAAACTATGTATTATTCAACCTTTCTGAAAAGTTGAACATAAATTGGTCACTATAACTTTAAAAAAGCTGCTATGGAGCACCAATCCAGAATCAATCCACAAACCCAGACCGTGGCCTGGAGTCTCCTTCTGAAAATGTCTCACAACAGCTCTGTGCAGTGCATGAGAGTCGCAACAGCAGGAACGGCATCTTCTTAGTCTCTATGCTGCATCTGCCCCAACACAGGAAGGTGGCAGGATTCACTGCGGAACACACGTCTCCCACGCCAGGAATCAAAACTGAACTAGCTGCCCCTCTGACCAGCAAATAGATAACCACTAAGTGAAACAAAAACTGGGAAATGGGTCAAATAAAGCTGCAAAAGCTCTCACCTGACCTGGGATGCTGCGCTCTGTCTCAGGACTGGATAGTCCTTCTGCCCCAGTAACTCTTGCCTGTGGCACCGTCCAGCGCTTCTACTGTGTTTGTGTACTTCCCATGCAGAGGCATTTCTACTTCTCATTTACGGCAAAGGGGAACATCTCACTGGAAGAGGAACTATGCCCCGACCTGGGAGATGGTCTTGCTGTTACCTTCTTCTTCATGAAATAAAGCAGAAACAGACACATCAGTCGGGTTTGCATGACAGAGTTGCTCACATCATTCTCTCTCTCTCACACACATATACAGACAGACAGGCACACGCATGTATAAACACACACACATATACACAAACACTCTTTCTCCCACTGTAGTCCAATGTATCTCAAGGTCGCAAGGCTGGGGCAGAGGAAACGGTGAGGGCTGCAGGCAGTTCAGCTGACAGACCCAAAGCTGCAGAGAAGGGTGGCCCAGCAGGCTCCTGGCCTTCACAACACATATCGCAGGCTGGCCTTGAGGGATTGCATGCTGCTGCTGCTCTCTGTTCCTGGCCAGTCCTCGGGAATTTTCTCAAGTAGCAACGGGAGAAGCAGCCCCATCTGAACTTACCCAAGTGCTCCTTTTTCCATCTTGATGCCTGTCTTGTCATGCCCTCAACCAGTTTGGCAGCCTTTCCCAACCTTGGGAGGCCAGCTGTGCTTGACTGAATTTCATTTGCCCTCCTTTTGGCACAAGTTAAGACCGCCCTCTTCCGCAGGGCCTTCCTTGGCCACCCCGGAGCCTGAGGGGGTATTCTGCAGACATTGTTTGCCCCTGTCTCTAGTAGGTGTTTTTAACCTTTTAATGTTTTTTCTGGTTTTCTGACAATCCTTTTTTCATGGATAATCATAGAACAGTGGTGGGGAACTGATGGCACGCGTGCCACTCTGGGCACGCAGAGCTCTCTCTGTCGGGATGCAGGCCAAATCGCCCCAGCAGCCAAGCATCGGATAACACGCACATACAGGCCCTGCGCAAGCTCGGAAAGGAATAGTGGCACCAAGGGATGACATCACAAGCAGCGACTCATTCCCCACAACTCGTCCAAGCCTTTGCGTGGCCAATCAGTGTACTGCCAAGGATATATATATAATTGCTTGGACTGGCTCTGAGTTTTTTTTTTCTGAACCAAACCCAGGTTTCATTGCAGGGTGCGTTTTGCATTGCAGCTTGCGTACCTGGTCTCTAAAAGGTTCATCATCACCAGGTTAGGGTTGTGGTTAGCAAAACAAGGTGCCCTGGAATGATTTTGATGGTTCAAATGTGTTCAGAATGGGGAAAAATGATGAGCTGTGCAGAAAAAGCTACCCAACGAAGGCATTTTCAAAATCGCCCTCTTTTCAATGGTATTTTAGCCCTATATTAGGGTTAGGGGTGTGCACCAGGGTAGGGTTAGGGTTAGAAAAACGAAGTGTCCTGGCATGATTTTGATGGTTGAAATGTGCTCAGAATGGGCAGAAATGATGAGCTGTGCAGAAAAAGCTACCCAAGGAAGGCTTTTTCAAAATTGCCCTCTTTTCAGTGGAAATTTAGCCCTATATTACGGTTAGTGTTGTGCACCAGAGAAGGGTTCGGGTTAGAAAAAAAAAGGTGTCCTAGCAAAACGAGGTGTGCTGGCATAATTTTGATGGTTGGAATACGTTCAGAATGGAAAAAAATCATGAGCTGTGCAGAAAAAGCTACCCAAGGAATGCATTTTCAAAATTGCCCACTTTTCAATGGTATTTTTGCCCTATATTAGGGTTAGGGGTGTGCACCAGGTTAGGGTTGGGGTAAGCAAAATGAGATGCTCTGGCATGATTTTGAGGGTTGGAATGTGTTCGGAATGGGCAGAAATGATGAGCTGTGCAGAAAAAGCTTCCCAAGGAAGGCATTTTCAAAATCGCCCAATTTTCAAAGGTAATCTATCCCTTTATTAGGGTTAGGAGTGTGCACCAGAGAAGGGTTAGGGTTAGAAAGACAAGGTGTCCTGGCAAAAAGAGGTGTGCTGGCATGATTTTGATGGTTGGAATGTGTTCAGAATGGGCAGAAATGATGAGGTGTGCAGAAAAAACTACTCCAGGAAGGCTGTTCCAAAATCTCCCTCATTTCAGTGGAACTTTAACCCTATATTAGGGTTAGGGGTGTGCACCATGATAGGGCTAGGGTTCGAAAAACAAGGTGCCCTGGCATGATTTTGATGGTTGAAATGTGTTCAGAATGGGCAGAAATGATGAGCTGTGCAGAAAAAGCTTCCCAAGGAAGGCATTTTCAAAATTGCCCAATTTTCAAAGGTAATCTATCCCTTTATTAGGGTTAAGAGTGTGCACCAGGTAATGCTTAGGGTTAGAAAAATGAGGAGTGCTAGTATGATTTTGATGGTTGGAATGAGTTCAGAATGGGCAGAAATGATGAGCTGTGCAGAAAAAGCTTCCCAAGGAAGGCATTTTCAAATTCGCCCTCTGTTCAATGGAGCTTTTGCCCTATATTAGGGCAAGGGGTGTGCACCAGGTAAGGGTTAGGGTTGGAAAAACGAGGTGTGCTGGCATGATTTTGATGGGTGGAATACATTCAGAATGGGCAAAAATGATGAGCTGTGCAGAAAAAGCTACTCCAGGAAGGCTTTTTCAAAATCACCCTCTTTTCAATGGTATTTTAGCCCTATATTAGGGTTAGGGGTGTGCACCAGGGTAGGGTTAGGGTTAGGAAAACGAGGTGTCCTAGCATGGTTTTGATGGTTGGACTGTGTTGAGAATGGGCAGAAATGATGAGCTGCGCAGAAAAAGCCCTCCTTGAGTAGCTTTTTCTGC